TGCAGAGCGAGTTTCTTCTGAGTGCGACATGGATTTCGGCGAAGTCGCTCTCGGATGATTTTAATGTTCGCAGGCGTCCTCACAGAGCGTGGACGAACACTTCTTTGCCGATCATGTAAAGAACTTGTCTCCTGGTATCGTTTAATAGTGTAATACACGAAGTTACGGCTCACACCAAAACTTTTCAGTTCTCGGAAAATGTCCATAGGTTTTCTTCCCACCTTAAACTGTCAAACACCAAGCGGTCACCGGTGACCGCGACCTATTGTTCTTTAAATAATGAAATGACGGTCGCACGTAATTCTTTTGTTCCCTCCATTACGAGAAAATTTAAATAAAATAATCCGAAATCATAGATATTAAAAGTTAACATTCCAAATTCAAAATTAGAAAAAGAAATATACAGCAGCCAGTAATTTTTATTTTATTTTTATAAGCAAAAAGTTTGTCTCAAAACTTATGAACACACGAGGTAGGTACGCCTTCTTACAAATTTTCATTATGTGCTCACGGAACAACTCGGGGGTCATGTAAACTCCCAAATCACGCACCTGTGTGACTCGTTGCAGTGGTGTATTTTCAAGCCTGTAGCAGAAGTGTACGTGCGCGAGTGAAACTTATCGTAGAACATTTTGACTCGTTAAAATACAGCTTGTTTTCATGACTCCTGTTCTATCAATGTCATCCTGTAAGCACTTGCAGTCTGTTTCATTCATAATTTGTAGCAGCAACTTTAAGTCATCTGCAAATAATATACAAGAGCTATGTTTGACGACATGTGGTAAATCATTTATCAAAATTAAAAATTCGAGAGGCCCCAAATTACTGCCCTTGTGAGTCCGACATCTGTCCGTGTGTCTGTGCCTGTAAGCTACGCTGCACAGCTGACTCAGACACCTTAGCCGGGGATGACAACACTGCCACTGGTCTATACCCCTCAATGCTAGAACCTGCCTTACCTTTAAGTACTGGAATAACTCTGGTAATTTTCCAACCGCGGACAATACCCCGTCGTCGCACGATTACCGCGGGGATAGCGGCGCGCGGCCGCTTATCTCAATGCTGACGGCCAGTGCCGGGTGGTACTCGTCCACCGGCAGCATGCCCTCGTCCGCCGCAGGCACCGACACTGACGCGCCTGCCCTTGCGCTCAGTACGAGGTCTAACTGTCTGTTGTTGCAGTTTGGAACCGTATTAACTCGTCGAGTACCGTATTTATAGACACAATTAAAGAACAATAGGTTGCGGTCACCGGTGACCGCTTGGTGTTTGACAGTTTAAACTGACTGAATTCACAAAATGACATAAAATATTCAAAATAGTTAAGAATTCCATTATTACACGAATGTAGATTAAAGTCTCCTAATAATATAAAATTATTTTTGTACTTAACACATAATTTTTCTAAAATATTAAACATCAACATATACTCATTTTCATCTGTTAATGGTGGAATGTAAACAACACAACACGCAAATAAGAAACGGTTATTCACATAAATAGCAGTACAAACTAGTTCAAACTTACATTTATTGATGTCAACATCACCTGGCACCAACACTTGTCGCAACTGGAACCTAGGTCCAGCCACCACCATTACACCTCCTTGTTCCGGGCTGTGAACTAGTGAGATGCGATGTGAGCATCGCATCTCACTAGTTCACTACCTGGTGACCAGGAAGTAAGAATTCGGCGTCTTGAATTGATTCGTTTAATCCAGATTCCGTAATAGCGAATAAGTCCGACTCCGACGACCCCAGCAACGAAAAGAACTGTGTTATCTTAGTGCGTAGCCCTCTGACGTTTTTGTACAGTAGGCTGACATGTCTACGCGGTTTGTAGTTTGTCTGGTTTGAGTGAGGGGCGAAACAAGATCCACTCACTGAATTTTACATTTAGTGGCCAAACATCTGTGTCACAAAGTTTTTCAAAATTACTAACTGTTACCCCCACTTTGAATTAGGCATAGTTACGATCCGTTCTAGGTTTAAATTTTTTGACAATAACTTCTGCGTCATCGCCCAGTGTCAGTTTGATATGCTCCCTTAACTGATCTTCCGTTGTGGTTTTTTCCAGTCTCCACACATGTAAAAATTTTCTGCGTTCTACCGCCTTTAAAGTAGCGATTGAGTTATTGCCACCTCTTCTTATATGTTTCCTTTTATTTTTAACTTCAATCCACTCATTATCAATGATGCAATTTACTTTTGGTGACGCTTCCTTCCGAGCCACCTCCGCGTAACTGATCACCGCAAGACTCGGCACCGGCAGCGCAGCCGCCTGGACATTGTTATTGTTCATGCGTGGCAATCCTGGCGTGTTACCATCATAATATCTTGGAGGTGTGTGCGTTGGTACATTTGAAGACATTGGAGTACAAGTATCGATGTAACGTTTTACATTATTTTCTTTAGATAATAAACTCTCATATCTCATACGTTTAATTTGCTGTTCATAAGCATTACATTTCTTATTCGCATCATTCAATTCCTGTCTGAACTTACTATTTTCGACCGCCAGGACAGCATAACATAACATAACATAACATCACGCCTTTTATCTCCGAAGGGGTAGGCGGAGGTGAACATTATGCCACTGTACAATGTAACACCCACTTTTCACTATTTATGTTATGAGTCCCATGTAATAGGGGGTGAGCCTATTGCCATATACCGGGCACAATTCCAGACTCCGTGCTACTACTAAGATTTTTTTTTAAAAACAGGACAGCTACGGTATTTTTAATTTCCTCTAGAATATTCAGTTTTTTGCCATGATTATGTTGCTTACTTTATCTACTAACTCATCCGATGTTAACTGTAACGTGTTCTGTACTCCATCCTCGAAAGACTGATTCTGCTCCATGATATCTGATACCAAACCGGCAGCGGCACTGACTCCGCGCACCGGTGTATCATCGATAACTCGAATACGCTGGGTTACATTAGCGCACGATTGACATTTAAAAGCCCGCTTTAATTGTACTTGGCCTTCCCTAAATACGGCCGTGGTAATATTGACACATTTATAGTATAACAGGATTTGCACCCAATACATTTAACCAAATCCCCTGTATCAATTTTTCGATTACATGCTGCACAATTCATTGTAAATTCCAAGAATTCGACGACATCATAGCGCGTGCGAGACACAGTTAGCTCACTCGCCCGAGAGTGAAAGAGTTACGCGCTGCGACAGTTACGCGCCACCCGCGCGTTGTTATTGTCTTCCAGGAACACAACACAAAATGTTTGGTTGGAAAAAGCATCAAAAACACACACTATCACTAATTTTATGTTGTTATTTTATATTGTTCTCCATAGTCTATGTTTACATTAACACAAAACATTAATTTTAACACAGTTTTTAGCATCCCACTCCAGATTATTATCGAATTAATATCAATAATATTCATACGCGTGACTTGCACTCCGCATATTATGGATCAAAGCGGCATTTCGTAATTAAAAACAAAATCAAACTAATAATAACAGTTTTCGGTAGCATTCCAAACAAAAGCAAACGTTATTCTACAGACTCTTATATTATCTGTGCGATATACATTGATTCCGTCGGTTGTCAAACAAATAATGTCAGATGCGAAACACTTGACATTGACATTTGACGACGGTCCGGGGCTGTGCGTGGCCGTCAGCCGTCAGCACAAAACTTTATTTCGATTGACATAAGTATTAAAATTGCTTGTCGTGGATTGTTGTTCATATTATAAAAATATGAATGTGTAAATGATATCTAGATTAGACAGTAGATACGTATTTACAGCAAATATTTCGCCAGACATTTCGGTTTCCTCCTTTCTTTAAGCCGGCCGAATTATTTGTGTATTTAGAGCTATAGGTAAGTATCAGTGAAGCGGGCGGTCCCCGCCTATCTATTTACTCTTGTGTTTGTGTCAACTTTGTGTTGGTTATTTCTTTTATAAAAACACTTCTGGTAATTCGGACTTTAATAGTTACCTGCAATGGTTACTAAGAAATAGGTAAAACCTAGAAAAACTACGTATTCATACGTAAGTAGCCTAAACTAAAATAATTATTTTGTCTCTATGACGTCATGTATTTACGGCACTACGTAAAACCTTTAAATGAAAGACATTTTGATTAATATCTTCTATTGTTATGTGAATGTGGCTATTATGTTAACTTGTGTACCAAATTATTTTAATTTTGGAAACATCAGACTATCAGATGAATTCTATGTTTGGGTATTAGATCATACTAACTCGGAAATCTGTCAAATCCCGCGGAGAACGTAATCTACTTGACTGTGAGTCATCCGGTTTCCATACACCTATATCTTACGTCACCAATATCAGCTACATATTATATGAATTTATATTCGCAACAATCGAAAGGAATGTTGTATACCGCTTTACAACATCCGGGCGGTATCAGCTAGGTACTTATTTATAAAATTAGTGTCCAGGTAGGTAAACATAAATGTACTCTATTTAGATAAACATTTCATCATGAACACACACACACATGACGGATGACCTTGACGGAATGAATTCTTGTAGTTTCCATACCTTTACAAATATGATCGCGACCTCGACGCAGAGTGTCCAACTCCAACAAAGTATCTAAGTACTTGAAACTACTTTTCGGAAATTCCTCTACGTACCTACTTGCAACATGCAATTTAGTCACAAGGCTTATAAATAGATTACAAATGCTCAATATTCTAATAGCTATTTCTGTCAAACAGCCTTGGGGAAATAGGTAGACGTGTATTTTTTTATGTTTGATGGGCAGACGTTTGTGCACTATCTCGCCTGGTGGTAAGCGATGATGTGGTCTACGATGGAGCACGTCGCATAGATGATGCCTATAATATCGTATTGTAGAAAAATGCACGGTTAGGTGAATACGGTTTTTACTTTCATTTAAACGCAGTTGCACTAAATGAAAAAATAATTAAATATACCTACTTACTGTTAGTAGATAGTAGGGACCTTCTTGTCTACAACTATTAAGCTTATGTATCTAATAACTTTTATCCATAATTTCAGATACCTACACATCATGGCGCCCCTAGACTTAGAAGGCGGAACCCTTGGGAAGAGACATGAACATTACAATAAATTACTCAAAGAAGCTATCAGTAGTGGTCAACCGGTTTCAACCTTTACATTAGGCGATAATGATATTGAAAACTTACTGAAGATCGATCAAGCCTGTCACGCCAGGGACGTCGATTTTATCGTTAACGTGTTCAAGTGTGGTGACTTGCTGTGTGTGTCTCGCGCACTTGCACGGTCTCCTTGGTTGGTCACTGACCCACAGTATGCCAACATCATCAATTCTGACTACGTACATACACAACTCTTCCCATATATGAAGACTAAGGCATTTATTAAACTTATCAAACATATAAGACTTAACATACAGGACGAAGTGCGCGCCGAACAATTTTATCTTTATGAAAAAAAGGATACCGACGCTTTGAAATGGTTACCGAAATGCTCAGCAAGCTTTATAGAAGCAAACATTGAGAAGCATATTAATAATTTGAAAATCAGAACTTACAAACGACTTTGTGAAAAAACTGACAAGATCTTTGAAATTGTTTTGGAGAAAACTTATTATTACGAGAGAGCGAGATATGCTCAAGTTGCAATGTTCTTATTAAAAGCCGATATCGATAAATTCTTAAACGTCATAGAAAAAGATAGATCTAACTATATACCGAAATTTAATGATAAAGCTACTGCTCTGATCATGAAGAAATCTCCGAAGAGAGTGATTGATAAATTTGATCGCTATGCATCATCAATCCATATACCTACATTTTGTAAATATCTTAAAACAGACGAAATTAAACCATTTTTATACGCACAAGCTAAAAAAGATAATGATAGCAACTATGAATACTATAATTTGCGAAACTTTTTTAGATACGATACATTAAAATACTTTGTAAAAAAGTTGCCGAAAAATGAACAATTTGAATTTGTAAAGAAAATATTCATCGATAAAGAAATAGCTGATGCCGATGAGGAAAAATTAGTAGCCGGTACCGAGCAATACAATATGAGAAAGCTGTATGTTATTATGAGGACACCTAGTTATATCTGGTATCGGTTTGCTGATTTTGAACGTGCATTTCAGGATATAACGGAAATAATATCCAAGGATTTGGATAACAACAACATAGTGTCCATGCTAACTGTACTTATGTCTTGTGCTGAGAATAATTTACAGCACATACAAAAGTTAATCCAGTATTATCTTGACAAGCATAGAACTCTAGAATCCCACTATACTTTGAAATTCACTACAGACCTATTAGATCGCACAAATATTTATCAATACGACGAGAAGACTTGGAATTTAATTAACGAATTATTTAAAATTTTAAAAATATATGATGAGCCGAATAATGTTTGGTCAAACACGGTAGCAATCATTGAATCTATAGTTGTCTACAACATTGTACACGATCAAAGTGTTCCTGAAAATGTACAAAAGAAATTCTCCTTTAAAACTTTGAAAGAACATGGAAAAAAATTAAACGAAGAACAGAAAGAAAAAGTATTTCGTTATTTATACGATTTTTTAATCAATAAATTTATACCCATTACGACAGAACACGAGTTCGTTGACACAATTCCAATTTTGTCGCAGATTTTCGAATTACTTCGCGATTGGAAAAAAGAACTTACAGATTTCACTCTTGTCACTGACAAAATTAAGGAGTGCGTTAAAGTTAAAAGCGAAAATTCTTGGACAGCGAGTTTGTTACAGTTATACAAATTTAAAAAGTCATGGCAAAGACATATGTTTGAAGAATCTGTAATTATGAATCCGGGTGAGGAGGTGTGCTTGAATGCCCTGAAACATGACCCTCTATTGCTGGAGCGTCAAAGTAACGATATACAGTCTTTAAGATGCAACGACGCTGTCTCGCTGCGACGTCTACTTTCTAAGTTACGTATCTACTGGCCTCAATCTCTCGCCACGCAATGGGTCGATGCATACATGGAAAATTTAAACAAAACCGATGGTCATAAAGCTACTATCCGCGGTCTCTGCACATCATTGTCCGAGAAGCAGGTACATGAGTTAATTGACAAATATAAGCCAAACCAAGCTAAAATTGACTGGAGTGCAGTTGATGATCGTATTCTGAGTATTCAACGATTCATTGCTAAAAATATGCACATCGCACGACCACAACCTGTTCCAGAAAGTATACTGTTTTTCGCTAGGGGTGACTACTTACAGTACGCTCTTCCATCGCTACTGGCAATATTTTATAATTTGAGCATTATGGAAAGTAAAAAATATATCCCAAAACTTTTAGATGCACCAGTATCTGTACAAAAACATGGTATTAGACTAGCATATAAAAAGTTAGATTACGAAACGCTAAAGAAAATATTTTTTGATTGCTGGAAAGCCTCCAAGAACGTAAGCATCAGAGCTATTATATTCCAATTAAACTTTGAATTGTTATGCAATCAAAAAGACTCTGGTAATTCTGTGGGCCTGTGGGAATTGACAGAATTATTTATTGACAACCTTACATTTGAAGAAGATAAGAAAATCTATGAATTAATGTCTCGCGTAGAACAAGTTCCACGGCACGTCAGAGCAAAGTATTTGGTAAAGGCTTACGATTTTATGAAAAAACTGACACAAAAAGTTAAGGAAGAAGACCGCGATAATTACAAAAGGCTTACTGCACAGTTAGCAGAACATTCACGGCAAATTATGGAGGACATCCTCCCAGAGTTTATTAATGGCGTAATACAAGAGTTCGTCGATAAAGACTTTTTTGGATTTGAAGATAACTTTGGATCAGTTCACAGAATAATATCGGTAATTTCAGCATATTTACTAACCGCCAAAAATGAAAATGTCCAAGCAGAGAAATATGAAAAAGTATTTGTTCCCATTATGAAACGTGCTTTTGAAAAGTGGTCAGAAAAAAAGGACGGCAACTTTATAATCAGAAGCAATTTTCAATGTTTGCTATCACAGCTTTCTGATGACCTAAGAGACTACGTCGTTGAAAATAAGCTTCTGTGGCCTGTTAAAATGTTTTTAAATATTAAAAATGAACTAGAAAAGTCTATATCGATCTCGGAAAATTATATGATGTTAACTAAGTGGAAATTGACCGCAGCTATAGCTCAACTAGCCGAGAAACCGTATTCAGAAGATAAAAATTGGGCAGAAATTACTGCTGAAATAGCTCCCGAATTCGGTAAAAGGTCTTTGGATTATTTGAAGGAAGATGTAAAAACGCATTTCCCTTGTATTTACAAACTTTATTCTAAAGCTCTAAACACGCAGTTGCAACTTATTTCTGAAGAAAGCAATAAAATTATAATTTATAAATGCTTCTTGGCTGAGAATGACTTCATAGAAGGATATTTAACTGCTATAGAAACCAGCAAAGACGCGTACTCCTATAACAAGGATACCTATGCAGATTTATGGAACCAAATATCGGAACACCCCTCTGTGGAAATAAAAATGCATTATTATTATAATTCTAGGAACGATTATGATGGATGCTGCTACTGATTAAATTTAGTAATAACATTTTTTACAAGTATCGGAACTAATTTACTAACGATTTGTTGTATTTTTATTACCTAGGTCTACCTAGGTAGGTACTCTTACCTATGTTAATGTAGCTAATATTTGTTTATTAATTAGTCTTTTTGTTATTTTTATAGCTTTTCTTATTATTTTAAATAAAAAGAAAAATACAAACTGTCATATTATTTACGAAAACGAATCCTTAGATCACGAATAGTTAAGTAACTCCGCATTTTACCAACAGCATATTAGTAAGTACCTAGGGGATCCGGGTTGGATTTATACCTACATTTTTAAGGTTCACACAGAATTGTTCCAGGCTAAAACCAAACCCGCTATTCGTTGCACGGCAGCCGGTTACCCAACCACCACGCACACCGCAGTCATTTTAGCGTGCCTATTAAAAATATGTTCATAGGTATTAAAATGTGTGCATTACAATGGATTGTCAGTATGCATTATGTGAGCACCATGTTAGACTATAAGTTTTTTTTTATTTTAGTAAGGTTTGTAATTAGTACCTATAATGCGTCAAGCGTGTCTTTGCATTGTTCTCACATAAACGTACAGTATTGGAATATGTATAAGAGACATTGGAGAACATACTTTTTTTAAAAGAGTAACTAATGGAGTTCCTTGATCGTTCTTCTCCATTCGAATCTACATTTTGGAATGAGCACCTAGCTTCACCTAGCTTCAGACGGACTGACTGACTATTTTTTATTTTGTATTTGTTGACGTTTCAAAAGTAAGTACCAAATTATGGTTTAATTGAAATAAATGCTTTGACTTTGACTTTTGAAAGCCGTTTCGACCCTGCGCTAGTATAAATTGACTCTGTTTCCATAAATATTTGACTCATTGGCTTGGTGAAACTTGTTAGGGACTGTTGACACATGTTGGAGCCGCTGGGGAGAGAGTATTTTTTTATGAAACTGTAAATGGGTAAATAAAAGTCATTTTACTTGTCCTAACATTATTTTAATGTAGACCTTTATTTTCTAAATCGCACTTAAAATATTGCCAATCTTAGAATACCTTAAACTAAACAAGAATATAAAGTTGGCAGAAGACTTGGCCAAAAGTAAAATACCTATGTTACAAAACCCAAACTGCACAGAATTTTTATGTTACAAATTAATATGCATTTTGCCCTTTGCATATTTTCGAAATGCATTTAATAATTAACCAATCTATTTGGGTTTTGTTACATACAATATGTAGGTATATCATTTCGCTAAAACATTATTCTACATTTCTATAGATAAAAATAAAAAAATACAAGAAATATACGAAAATAATGTTTTAGTGATATGAAAATTTTTCGGTATTTATCAATAAACAAATGACGAAAATCACAGTGGAATAGTAATGACGACTATCGTATACAAATTCATCGCTAGAAGCGCTAGTGACATTTGAGGTCTGTTGCCCAATGGAGAACTTGCCAGTGTCGTATCGTCATTGACAAGACGTATGGTATGGTACCACGGGCTTACTCTTGAATCCAATACCGATTGATCGACATTGATATTGTAAAATTTTGTACTCTTGAGTTGTATCACTAGCCCCCATTGAGTCCATATTGCGTGGATATTGAACGAACTAAATCGTAATAAGTTTGGCTTTATATTCCGTACTCTGAATGCTGTATTCACAGCTACGATTGTGGTTGTATAGTGTTGATATTGAGTAATTATTGAGATTTTATTGAATTGAAATTGACATTGGTTCCAAGATTAAGCACCCTGGAAGGTAAAAAGATTGAAATATCAACTAAAAAACGAGAGGGATGGATAACTGGAAAGAAATTTAAATAATCATTGCGTAGTACAAACGCATTTTACGAGAAAATTATAAAATGTTGAATTGGTAGCTTTAAATGGCTATGTCGTCGATGTGACAACTATTGGAATATAAATACTGGCAGTGAAGATCTCCATTTTTAGCAATTGGACAAACAGAACCTCGCACTAAATGTGCGTCATCTAATCAGTAAAAAAGAAAACGATAGTTCTCATTTAATCACATTCGTTTAAGTCAAGCTTAAATATAATTCGTAGGCTAACGGAAATAAGAGTCAAAATATGTCCCGAATTGAAAGCAACTATATTCGCTAGCTTTGTGGTATTTACCGGACATTTCGCGACACACTTTTATACTCTTATTACATATTAGTATCAAGAAATAGTAAAAAAAAAAAACAAATATAACTAATGTAGCTATAATTGTACACTGGTGGTTGTAATATGTTTTTGTCATAAATTAACATTATGACTTAATTATTTATAGACACACAGACGAATATCAAGGCAAAGTCTTGATTATGTAAGTCATAGTGAACTCTACCGCAACTACGAAATAATCAGCAGTTATAGTCTACTTAGCAGTTTATATAGTCATGAACGTAATATTTGTAATAGATACTATTTAAGTCATTTTATGATTGATATTACACTTAAAATTTGATTAAGTAAAAATGAAGACAGTATTTTCATTTAAAATATGACCTCACAATGGAATAATCTTATATCAATACATAATTGTTTTTTCTTCTGAAAAGTACAAAACATTATGAAGACTCCCTGTTACTTAATTATAATTAGAGAGTTATGTATCTACAACAATAACATTTAATCCTATGTCACTAAGTTACAATATTAAAACGAAAAATTAGCAATGAGAACTAGTATGGGTTGATTGAAACGATTGTAAAGTGGATGCAACAAAAAATTTTCCTTTATTTAGTGTTGAGAATAATTTCATATTTTCAGAGATAAAATCTGAAACAAATTACATATGTCATTAAAGAAATTGTATATAACAAACCCTAAGCCTATTACAATACTATTTTAAGTTATAAAAATAATTATTTTATAAAAAAGATTCTTACTTTGACTTGCTAATAGTCGATTGAGAGATTTTGCGTAAGGCATTAAATCACTAGCACCAAATTGTCTGTTTAAGTTAAATAAATAAATGAAATAAGCTCTCGTTTGTACATGCCGCCCCAAAGGCGCCACTAGTCCACTACATTATTTCCACTGCAACCTTTTAAAACAATCTGATATCTCAGAAAGGTTACTATTAATGTTGACGTTGCCACATGCATTGTGTTTAAGATCTACTTTTCACAAGTTTTATTATGAGTCCCATGTCTACTAATAATGGATCTATTGCTATATACTAGGCACATATACAGACTTATGCTACTATTGAGATATTCTATTTTCGCAAAAACCTAAAAACCCAAATTATTTTTTTGATGACCCGAGAATCGACCCTGAGATCCTTGGTTTTCGCGCTCGCGACCACACAATAAACAATCATGAGTAATAACAAAATTATATAAGACAATAGTTACCTTTTCTCCATAAAGCAGTCAACCAAAGTAGAAATCATGTAGTCATTCCTTCTAGTCGTCAGCACCAGCTTCATCGGGCGCCGGCGTGTGCCACGTGAGCCTCTCCTCGTAGAATTGAATCACCACTTGAGGGCACCTTACATTAGCCTGCTTTGCTGGTACTAAGTCTGCCTCATCTGTACCCTGCCACTTCATGAGGAACATCAGCTCTCCACTGCTGTCAGTAGCACCTATAATATTTTAATTAAAGTTTGTATTTTGTTTGTATAATTGAAATAAGTCATATTTATATTCATGTAAGTAATCTGAAACAAGACTTAAATATTATGTGAACTTAAAATCTATGACTGTTTTTACATTATCAAAATAAAGTAATTAACACCGCCATGCAAGCTTTGAGAGATAGTCGCCAATGAGCATGTCCTATAGCTTATAACACTTCCAGTAAGATTCAAATACCTTTACAGTAAGATACAAATACTGATATGCATAGATAACTACATTTCGGGATGTATAATACAAAAATGAAACATATTTCAATAAGCCATCATGCAAACCTGACAAATAATATTAGAATACTTAATATAGAATAAGTTTCAAAATATGCAAAAAAGAGGTAAAATAAACGCAAGCAGTGAAAGTAATATGCCAGTAATGCTGTTTATGAACAAAATTATATACACACCTATAATCTTTTCAGGCTCTAGACCTCGATCAAAACCTGACGCCTTTTTGTCATCACTCTTAGCCTTCTTTGCACCTTTTAAGTCTGGAGTCGGCACAGCAGATTTGCGCTTCTTTGCATCTTTATCTACTTTGACAGTTTTACCCTCTGAAAGTAGAAACAAAAACCTATTTAATTTTTAGGTACTTATGTTCTAATAAGATCTCTTTTAATCAGATACAAGTTCAATCATATTTGACATCAACCTTTTAGTCCCTGAAAGCAAAGATGTTTCACAATTTAATGAGCCCTCATGTAAAAAAAGGATTTAAGTGTCTAAATAAATAATGCAAAGTTTCCCAAACTATGGGTAGTGACCCATTGGTGGGTTGCAAGCGAATTTTTATTGGGCCGTGTCTGCAGAAAGATGCACAAACTCATTATTGTTTTTCATACTGGTAATGGTTTCATTCCCTGAAGATGGATCCTGAGTTTAGGAACTTAATTTATAGAGGTTGTAGTACAGACAACTTTGGAAACCACTGAAATAATGTATAATTATACAGAATGTAACAATTCTCACCAGCTTCCTTCTTCTTTCGTGCTTCCTCAAAGGCTGATATGAGATCTGGGCAATCCAGATTCTCTTCTGGTTCCCAGGTATTGTCCTCATCACTGTAACCTTTCCATTTTAAATAGTATTCAACCTGGAAAAACAATAAACCAAACCTGCTTTTATTTGTCGGATTGGAATAAACAATAACAATACATGGACAGAACTTAAATAATTAAGCATGGAAGAAGCTGTGGCGGTACTTTACAATGAAAACAATAAGCTACTGGTTTACCTTTCCATTTCGTACACGTCGGTCTAGCACTTTCTCGACAGAGAACTCCTCCTCCCCCTCTGGTTCACCTTCCTTTTTCTTGTCAGCCATAGTTTTAATGATCTAAGAAACTGCAATGTATGAGAAATAAACATTAAAAACAGCTTTGTTTGTTTGCTATCTGACACTATCTGGACATATACTTGATAATTAACCCAAAACAACAGAAATATATTCATATGCCTATCTACGCAGCTAATCCCTGTTTATACCTACATTGCATACTTGCAGTGCAGTAAGTGCAGCAAGCGTCTGCAGATAACCTATACTATATTCCGAATGTCCTAAGATCATACATGCCGTATTTTTTAAAAGACATATTGTCTTCAATAGTGTATATTACTAGTGTATATATATAGAATTGTTTTATTTGTTTTCATAACAAAATATTTGTAATTGTATACAAATTGGTGCCAGCATCGTGTCCCGCCATTTTGACTAGGGTTAATACCAAATTGTTGAATCCTCCTATTCATTTTTATATACCATGGGGTTATTGTCACTAGTTATTTATCATAAATAGCACGACAATAATATAAACTAATCAAAACTTTTAAACGTACACACCTTTTCACTTTCGATCGCAATTCGCAAAAGTACCGGCGCACAACTCGTTTGATTTAAGTTTGAGTTTTGAGTTGGATTTTAGCATCTATGTGATAGTACCAAAGAGTATAGATATAGGGAATAGTACGCTATGATTTTAGATTTGTTGTATGTATTGATTAGGGTTGCCAACTACTAGATTTACCATTTACTTAAAAGGTTCAGTACTATCATAATTATGACACAATCATCATGTCGCAGATAGTCGATTAACTCACCGCGCAGATTCCTGGAAATGTAAATACTTTATGTTGTCAGGGTAGCCTTTTTTCAGTATCATTTGTAATTTTTAGTGCAATATTGCTTGACAGCAAAGCAAAACAGTGCTTCTCTGTAAAGTGCCATCGCTAAAATACCGTGAGCGCAACGCCAGCCATCGAGCGACGGCATCACACGATGAACATGGCGCGACCTATTAGTACACCTGTTAAGTCATCGTATAATCAAATTGATCGTGAGAAAAAAAATGCATTGCGCCCTCGTACGATCCCTCCCGTAGGACGCCGCCTTAGACCGGCTCCAGCTCGAAGTGCAGGAGTAGCAACGGGGTAGTTTTTTCCCACCTTAAAAAAAACTAATGATACTTCTATCACTCTATATATGAAACATTAACTTATGTCAGAACCAAAAAAGATTTATACACAGTTGCTTTCAAAAGTGACTATAGGAAATGACGTGATAAAAACAGACTAAAACTCGAGGTTCGTTATGGCAAAACAGCCCTCATGAATAAAAGTTTTCTTTGCATGGCACAACTGTTCTATAATAAGTTACCAGACAATGTAAAATCACTCAATTTAAATCAATTCAAAGCGACTGTACGGAAACTTCTCATTGACAAATGTTATTATCCAACAACAGACTTTCTAATTGATTAATTGTAACATTATGTATTATATAACATTATTTTAACATTATGTATTTCATGACATTATTATAAACATTATGTATTTCTTGAAATTGTTATTATTGTTTATATTGAATCTGACATTGATATTGATTAATTGATATTGATTAATTGATATTGATTAATTGATCTCGACTAGTTTCAAGCCATGCTAGAGGTTCATATTCATAAGCAGCATTTTGCGACCTGCGACGCGGCGACTGTCACACTGCTTCTTACTACTCGAGTCAGCGGGTCAGCGGGCCCAGCGCGCCCTCTGCCGCGATTCACGCGCACTTTCCTCTATTTGTGGTATCGACGATGTGGCGCGCGCGACATTGCTGGCACGCTTAACGAAAACATAGTAAAGTAAAAATGCTATTCATTCAATACAAGTGACTCCAAAATCCACAATCTCGTACAAAATTCATAGAAATCTGTCGTTTTTTACTGCTCTTTTTGTTTGTTTTTTCATAAATGAACTATAAAAACATAAATTTAGATTTTATTTTTCATAATGCGTAATACCCTATTCATTTTCTGGAACCAAACTGGTTTCGAGGAGAATAAGATATCTACCAAAATGAGTTAGAACATACAGAACATCGAGAATTCAAATCAGCCTTTATCTTTAGTGTCTATAAATTTTTAAAAGGCTATTCTTCTTTGTTTTTGCACTGATGACAAATCGATTCGCGGTGCGTCTAGTCAAAGTACTGCGAAATTTGTATGACGATGGCAGCATCGGCATCATCTTGGCTTACAAACTCTTTGTGTTTCACACTTGAACATTCAATAATTGAAGCACCAAAATGTCAGTGGGTTGTTAATGTGCGCGTTTTATAGATAAAAATCGCAATCCAAATCTAATGTTGTTGTTCGCTTGACACCTGACGTACTACAAAACTATACGGCCTAAAGATGGCGGCTGGCACGCGAGGTAGGTACTTTGTCAGAAATGTAGAAATGTTGCCAGCCAGAGAATAAACAAACAACATGACGTCTCTTTCTTCAAATGAGGTTACTCATTGATTAAAAAGAGACAAAGTGTGGTTTCATATTTCTGTATCGATTTGATATATATTTGTATAAGCAAATAAGCTATAGATCATTACGACGCATCTATATAATACTAAATCTGTAGCCAATAAACCTGACGTACCTAGTGGTGATAGACCGACAAGTACGCGGCACGATGACAATCGATGTTACCATACCCCATGACGAGAACCTCGTGAAAGCTGAGAAATATAAACAAATAAAATATCTAGACTTAGCTCACGAGGTTGTCGACATGTGTAATGTGGATTCAGCTATCATTGTGCCGATAGTCGTGTCGGCCAATGGGTTAATCCCTAAAAGCCTCGACATCCATCTTAGGAGGCTGGCGTTAGGTGGATGGATCAAGGGCCCGATACTGAAGGCAGTTCTCCTAGAAACGGCACGCATCGTGAGGAGGTTTCTGTCTCTGGAGCCCTAACCACCGGTAGCTTGGACCATGCTCCCGCTACTGGTCGGCTCCTATTTTTATATTTTTAAATATTATTATTTTTTTATTTTGTAAGTAGTATTTAAAAATATAATTTATATAGAATTTTAAATAAATAATATATGCATATGAATTATTATACAATCTTATAAAAAATAATTAAAATAATGAAAAAAACATTTTTTTAAAAAACAAATTAGTAGATTTAACAAATATCTGGACCAAAAATGAATATCGACTAAGACCTGTAGGAAAGTAATCGATACGACGAAACTCGATTCTTCAATCGCACTACATATGTAATATATTTATCTGTATGTGTCTATGTATGTCTCAATACGGGAAAGTTGTAAATAATTTTCATTAAATTTTTGACGAAGCTCCTCAATTAGAAGCCTAAGTTAAATAAAAAGTGACCTGATGATTACAAAGTGAGTTCTAAATGTGATGGGAAACCGTAAATGGTGTGCCTTATGAAACAAAAAACTATCATTGCGCACGATCCCCAAACGCCATTTTGAAGCGAAATTTTGTATGTAAGTGCCAAGTATTTCGCAATATTTTCAATCTTCACCCTTGTTGAGGGGGTGTGTTTGATAATTTTTGGTACTAGTGAATGTGAAACACACCTACGAACGTGCCAATATGTGATCAAGTGCATTGACGGATGGTCAGAGTCAGTGGTTGCATCGAGGTGGGTTGCGGCGCCGTTTATCTGGAGCTCGCATTAATTAAATTATTAGTGGTATATTGAACTGACAAATTGTTAGCTGACGATGTTTTCAGTAGTCATCAAAGTGTGCAATGTTTCTGTGATATTCGGACAAAAGTGGTGACAACAGAATAGTGTATTTCGGCGTGGCGAGTGTTATCGGTGGCGTTTCCGACTGTTGCAGATAGCGGGTGGTGCGGAGGATGGCCCGACCCAACGGGAGCTCTCTCAATAACTGACGGACGCTGCCGGCTTCCAGCTGGCGCAAGCAGTATGTTATTTATACTTTATTTTACATCAATTGTCCGTGACAAGATACATAACTTTGACATTGATTTTTCAACAAATCACTATAGCACATAATCCTTTTTTACTGTTCAATGAGCTAAATGACAGCATACTGTGATATTAACAACAATATGAAATTCCTTTGGATTTTCTTCAATTTTCAGGCACAACATAGTCATGACAATTGCACTAGTATTTCTTGACATCTGCACTATGATATAAGTATTGAAGTCTTTTATAGGTACTGCTTATGTCTTGTTTAGATATTTTGTAATGGAACTGAATGAGATAGCAATCACCAATCAGCTTTTTACTGCAATTACATTATTCATAGTACATTTCTTCTGCTACTGTTAGAGAAATAGCAAATAAAAATGTTCCAATTCATGATTCATGTATTAATAAACATTGTCTAACATCCATTTAGTGATAGAGATTAGAACAAAATGACAATTTTTTTAATAACTTTGTTTACAGGTACAATGTATAAACCTTCAATTGTAACAAAAAAATATTTTACAAGTTCTTCAAATTCTGTTCATTATCAATATCACAATGGTTTGTGTAAAGTATGACATTTGGATCAATAGCCTTAGAGGTTATGTCATTTGCTCATAAAGATTATGAATGTCAAACATAATAGTGCTTTTAATGAAAAAGTTCAACTTATCTCATGAAAATAAATAAGTTAAACAACATTTTCAATGAGATGACTTTTTTTTTTTTTTTTATTTATTTTACATAAGTACAGATACAGACGACAGATTGAAATCGTACACAACAATCTTAATTATAAATAGTGAGCGAACCTGAAGTCCAATTACAGCTGTACATAACCCACTTATATCAAATTACATAACAATTCCCAAATGTTAATCCATTTTTCTGTAATAAATTTTGTTCAATTCTTGAAAACTAGAAACTTAAATTTGATTTCAAATTTAAACAGAATGATAGCCAAAAACATTGTAGGTTGACATTGGCTTACATTGTATCAATAAACAGTATCTGCTTTTATAACAAAACAAGTCTTTATACTAAAAATCTTCTATTAGCTTTCTTTACCAAAAATATCTATTTTACAATAATGGTTATCAACTAAAAGGAGAGTATAATTTGTTTGTCTTATCATATAAAATGTTGCAGATAAAAATGCCACGACCTGGCAGTCTAAAAGACCCAGACATTGCTGAATTATTCAGTAGACATGATCCAGAGAAGATCTTTGAGGACCTTCGTGAGATCGGTCATGGGTCCTTTGGGGCAGTCTACTATGCTCGCTGCAATCTCACAAAAGAGATTGTGGCAATTAAGAAAATGTCATATGTTGGTAAACAGAGTGAAGAGAAATGGCAGGATATCTTAAAAGAAATTAAGTAAGTAGTTTATTTGTTTACATTTGTTATCTATTTGGATTGTACTGATAAGTTTAAAAACTGCAATGGCTTACTTGAACCAAAATTACATCACATCATCACAATATTGTTTTGATTGTAAATTGGAAGATAACAAGAGATTTATAGAAACATGTTGAAAATGTGACGAGTGATGAGTATGAAATCAGAGATATTGACTGGTATAATAAAACTGTACTAAACTTTGAGCCTCATGTAACATTGTACTGAGTATAATTAAGGATAGTAGTATATGTACTGTATACATTGTTACATACTATATAGTGAATCTAAATTCATTTTTAAGAGCAGTCATTAATTTAGTTTTTTCATAATAATATAACTTATTTTTATTTGCCCTGTAGGTTTAAGTAGTCTAAAAAAATATATTAGTAAATCAATTGTGTAATGGGTGTATATTCAATATCCATAGCGTAGGTAATACAAAAGTTATAGGACATTTAAAAAGCAATAACTCTTTCCTATTTGTAGATTCCTCAAACAGCTGGAACATCCAAACACTATAGAGTATAAAGGGTGCTACAAACGAGAACATACAGCATGGCTAGTAATGGAGTATTGTGTTGGTTCCGCATCAGACATAATAGAGGTAATAATTTCTATCTTTATTATAATGTTTTAGTTTAAAGTACACAAAGCACCGCTAATTAGTTAGCGGCGCTACACATCGACACAACTATCATTTACACAATATACATGTGTGGGTAATTTCATATCAATAGATATGTATAGAAACATTCGTCTATCACACACATCTTGGTATTTAAAAATCATTTTTGTGTCGGTATACGCAATAATTTAGTAAATAAGTTTAAATAAAAACGAGGGTAAAGATAAAATTACTCATAACAAACTTTGAATAAATCGAAATCAAAAATAATGAACGATCGAGCTATACAATACCCATATAAATATAGTGCTTTCTCATTGTAATTTTATGTTACTGAATGATATAAAATATTTCGATGATCTCATCTACAGCGCGCTTGGCGCAATGGTTATCGCCTCCAATTGTCAAGTAAAGTGCCGCCGGATCGATTCCAACATTCACATGTTGTTTTAGAATTAATTTATCAAATATTTGAAATTTGAAATTAGAAACAATTAAATCTTTTCTTTTTTTTCCTTTCCTATTGTTCTAAATCTTATGTTAATTTTAATAGTAAATACTTTAGATTTATTTATACCTATAATATCTTTTATTTATATTTTAGTTCTAGTTATTTATTATTTAGAATAATCTCATTTGCTTCATGCATTTCAACCAACTTAAATAAGATAAAAACAGTAAAAAAGTAATTAACTGTGATTTCTTAATGGTTCGATACCTGAGTATATTTGCAATGTTTGTGGCGACCATAGAAATCTCGAGTCATTTTATTTTACACGCTTATGAAGTAACTACCGACTATTTAAAACATGTTTTTCAAATCACCCGACTTACAAAATAATTGCGTTCTTAGTTGTCAATTTATGAGGATTTCATAGTTTATTGCTACACTACTTATATTCGTGTGCAAAGTTATTTTTATTTTTACAAGATGTTCCAACACCTATCAACATTTAAAAAGGCTGAAACCATTGTTTTGCATGAGCAAAACATAACTAACAATAACTGAAATAGCAAGGCGTTTAATGATATCGGTGAGTAAATAAGATACTACGTTGATATTCTAAATAATATTTATTTCATTTTGTAACTCGACACACCTATCAATTTTTGCACTAGAATAAAATAATTATTGCAACTTATTATGAAGTTCAATATTATAAAGATATATTAATAATTTATTATTAATTGTATTGTAACTTGACTTGTTTTTGTTAGGAGTGTTTCTTTAAAACATATCTGGTTAGGGATTTTTATTCCTTACGCCACTACTTAATTATAAATTATTATTCTAACATTGTGTTTACTTATATTTATTATTATTTTTAATAACTTTAATTCCTGTAAAGTATTTCCTGGTATTTTAAATACTTATTTGTTTGGTATCAACAGAGGAGATCCATGCAGTTATGGGTGCACAGATATGCGGAGACCGGTGACGTTAAACATCGTCGACGTGGGCCTAAACCAAAGGCAAATTCATCGGCTCGGCACTACGACATCGTAGCCAGGCACATGGCTGATCCGTTCCTGCCAACCCGCACTACAGCGACAGCACTGAATGTTTTAATACAAACTGTACGGAGACACCTGCATTCTGGTTTAAGGTGCAGGAAGCCAGAGAAGAAAATATTGTTATCTGTGGTTCACCAGCAAAAGCGCTAAGAATTTGCTAAGGACTTTATTATTTTGATTGGGCGAACAGTGTAATCATATTGAGCGACGAAAAGACTTTCAAGTCGGATAAGGATGGGCGTAAAATATTGTGAAGAAAAGATGGAGAAAGGTATACGAATTGCAACCTTCTGCCTTGTAGGATCAGTGATTGTATTGATTTCGGAATCAATTATTGAGCCTGTCAAACTCTGCCTTTATTAAAATTAACATAAAATAATGTTTAATTTTTTTAAGAATATTAAAATGCTGTCTAGAACATACGGTGAAGTGATGTTATTGTTTTGTGGTTAGAAATTGTCATAATTTCTTTCTATTCAACATGTTTATTCACTTCACTTTAATTTTTCATTAACAAATTTATTTAACTGCTTTCGAACTTGATTGACATATTATATTTACGCCCATCTTCAATTAATTTAAAGTTTCCCTGATTCTAAAGGTCATGAAAGTTAAAATCGTTCCATAGCATTCGTCACATTCTTTTTACTATCATACAGCCCACTGAATATTGAACCTTATAACAACCGTCGTAAAATAGATAATTAATGGAAGTTCAAACGACAAAAAGTCGCCCATTTCAAGAAATATTATGTTGACAGTGTAATTTTTTACATGTTTTACTTGTTTATTACTGTAAAACTGTAATTTAATTACATTATATTATTAAATTACAAAACAAGAATGTTGTATATTTGTTTATTACCTACTTAATAAAAAATGTTGCTGCCATCGTATTACCGCTGTACCGCATGATATTTCCCGATTCGACTATGAGGTTTATTGTCATATCTATTAATTATGATTTAAAGAACTTTAAACTTAACATGTGGTATATAATTAATTATTAGATATAAATATTGAATATAAAACAACATATTTGTATAATAAATAAATTAATTGTAATAAAAAATAGTATTGTTTTATTTACCAACTCATTTGCTTCTTTTATAGCCTGATATTTATATTTTATGACAAAAAACAAAAAAAAAATAAGAAAAATAACAAGGTAAAATAAAGTTAACTTTTAGCTGGAATAGAACCCACATCATTGATCCTTGAAAGACGATAAAAGCGTGCTCATTAACCAATCGACCACGAGCACTACGATAATGACAGTGAAAATGTCGGGTCATATCAATGATTGTAAATAGTTTTAACCTTACCTATGCATTAAATTATAAAAATACGTATACCGACACAAGAATGAAAATACCAATGTGAACGTGGTGGACGAATATTTTTATATACAGTTATATGAAATTACGCACACATGTACACTGTGTAAATGACAGTTGTGTCGATGTGTAGCGCTGCAACTAATTAGCGGTGCTTTGTGTACATCAAGTGTTAAATTCAATATTTTAGTAATCTTTGAATCTTTGAGATACTTTAGGACATGAACAAGATACCATGTATTGTGTAAAACTTATAAAACATTAACAATTGAACAGTTTGCACTTGTATTTTTATGGTATTCATACATAACTCTCGCTGTTATCTCCTTTAGGGGGCTAGAAGAACTATAAATATTTTTTACTAAAACCATTATAAAAAGTTAAATGTGAGTGTTTATCCACTTGCATTTTCTTCATTTTTTTTTTTAAGTGATTGATCACAAAGTAATGAATGCAGACAAAACCCTTTTTAAAAATAATAAATTGTTCCAATAATATAACATTTTACACTCATAAACTATAAGAAGTTTATGTACATACAATTAATTAGTTGAGACATTGCAATCATCATTCCAATAAAATGGTACCAGGAAAATGAAGGTTGCATAATCAAATTGTCTTCTTGTTAGACACATGTGACCATTAATTGGGAGAAGTGTTTGTTATTGAACTGACTATTTGTTCTTTGTTATGCTTTATATTCATGCAATTTATAACAAGGTGTACTCAATTACTAAAGTTTATTTTAAGGAACTACATAATGATACTAAAAACCAGATGTTTAGCAATATTGAGGAAGGTTATAGGCATCACATATTGGATAATAATATCATGTTTACTACAATGTGGAGGAGTGTGGTATGGGGATTCCAAGAAATTAAATAATGAGTAGGGACTTTTTGCTCACTGTATGTATGTTATTGGGTCTCCTGTTATTACCTGATTCAAAAGTATGGACACAAAAGTGAATTAAGAGGCTGTTTTTTGAAGAGATTAGTTTTTAAACTTATTATGTTGTAGGCTAGCATCTCATAGGTAAAAATCCTTAAAATTAACTGTTCTGTAAAAATCCTTAAAATTAACTGTGTTGTTGTCATCTTTTCCACTCGGTTCAGTTATGTGATATTCACAATTATTTCAATAGTGTAGTTTATATTTTTCATGACATGTTAATTTACAATCTTGCTGTTATGATTTTCAGTCAATACGTAATATGATTTAACAATGTTAAATTTTCCGAAATCGCGTTTATACTACACAGTAGGATAAATTATCATTGAAGATAACAGTATCTTAACAAAATGTATACAATTTTGAATGTATGTAGGTAATATGTAAACTAATTGATTCAACATAGTGATTTGTAATACATGTACATTATAATCGCGTTATTTTTACGCCTGTAATTTAATCATGATCATATCAGCCTATCGCTGTTCGCTGCTGTTGATGTCTATAATGATAATTCGTAATATTGAGGAATAACTGTAAGTTTTACAAATAAATTAAGCATTAAAAATGCTGAGTTGTTGACCCTCTTAGTTAAGATATCAGTTGTAGGAGATTAACACTGCGGAAAAAAAGATCATTATATTAATGAGCTGTGTATCGTAAATTACCTAGTACTACCTTACCAAGAATAATAATAAAATTTCATGGTAATCCATTTCACTAGTACAGTTTATCGTATCAATGAGGAAAAATGTTGCATTATCGTGACTACAGTACTTTAATTACTTGCTTATCCTTGACCTAACATAACCTTTTAAAAATATTTCATTGTATCGTTGGTAAAATCGTTGTAGGCGCGCCTGTGGAACTCGAAGTCTTGAATTCAAGCACGGAGTCTAAAGAAATGTACTCTACTAATCCTAACTAATATTATAAATGCGAAAGTAACTCTGTCTGTCTGTCTGTCTGCTACTCTTTCACGCCAAAACTACTGAACGGATTTGAATGAAATTTGGTATACAGATATTCTAGACCCCGAGATAAAACATAGGCTACTTTTTATCGCGAAAAAGGGGTTGTTGTAAGAATAATTATTACGATTTATCTGAAAACCTGAAAACGGATATCTGACAGGTAACATTACTATGGTAACCAACCTGATGATTTGTAATTGTTATGACGTCCTACTTTCATAATATATCTTGGCATCAACATATAAAAATGAAGTTCTGTGGGTTTTCAAGGAATAATATTAGTATTCAGCTGCATCAGGGATCAGGGATTTTAAAGACAAAATACGAATTCAATTGACTGAATACAATTTATTCATAGACTAGCCTCTGTCTGCGGCTTCTCTCGCGTTCTTTTAATGGGGTGAGGGAAGGATTTACAATAAAAAAATGAAATGATGCACGATTCTATGCTGGTCACAAATAACCCGCATACCAATTGTTAGCTTTCCACATTGAAAATTGCAAAATACCCCATACAAACTTTCACCTCTGTTTCACGGAAGTGGAAGGGAGTTAGAAAAAGACAAAAAGTAGCCTATGATACTCTCCATCTTTTCAACTATCTCAAATCAAAAACCTTCCTGACTCCGTTCTGTCGTGAAATACGGACAAACAAACAAACAAGCACATACAAATTTATATTATAGTATACATTTCTTAAGTCATCTGACATTTGTGTGACAAGTGAGTTTACAAAGTCAATGTGTCAGAGATTTTTTTTATACTATGGTATTAATATTAAGGTATGCAAAGAGGTTGACAGCAGTCTAAGGAGATAAAACCACGAATAAAATATTTTCAGTTTACTTGAATTCGTATTTTTTATATGTATATCAAAAAAACTAGCTAAATGCACATAGCTAAAAAATAATATTAGTCCTTTTCATTTTAGACCGTCAAGGCCAAATTCACTATGATAGTTTGCTGTTTGTTTATGGCATAAGCCGGTAAACGAGCAGACGGATCACTGCGCCGCCCATGGACATCTGTAACACCAGAAGTGCTAGAAGTGCGTTACCGGTCTTTTGGGAATTGGTAATTTGAGGATTGTTAGGGATTGGGGGGGCTGGGGAGGGGTAATTGGGCCTCCGGTAACCTCACTTACACAGCGAAACACTCCTTTAGGTAACCGAGGGCTGGGCTCGCTGTCATTGCAGCGGAAAGTCCCCTCTTTAAAAGTGGCTTTAGAGAGGCCATCAATGCAAGGACCGCCCGGAGAACACGGTGGAGCATACCGTGGCGGTGTACCTTGCATGGGCTGAGCACCGCCGTGTTCTCAGGGATGTAGGAAACGGTGACCTCTCGCGTTCGGCTCTGGTTCAGGCCATGGAGCGAGGGGGATTGGGATGCAGTCGCATCCTTCTGCGAAGCAGTTATGCTTGCCAAGGAGAAAGCGGAGCGTGTGAGGGAATGAACTTCCTCACGCCCCAGCCGTCGCGGGAGACACTCTCACCGGCCACCGTAAGTGCGGGTCTGTAGACGCAGAGCAAGGGTAGCTCGCCACCCGACCAGAACCAGTCCCGTGCATACGGCGCGCGCCTTACAGAGCCATGACACCATCATAGATGGAGCCCAGTAGGGCTGATGCTCGATACGGTGCCGCGGGAGGCCTAACGAGTTGACGGGGCTCCGGCTCGACGAGCAAGAGTAGGAACGGAGTGGATTTTAGTCAGTAAGAATCTGTCACTCCCTCTCACCTAACCCAAGGCGGGAGAAGTGATTGGATGATTTTCCGACCTCAAAAAAAATCTCCTTTAGGTAATGACAACCCGATGTGTGAAAAACTACCAAAAAAACTCCTTATATTACTGGTATTGATTACGCTGTGGAAATTATGGACAATAGAGCCAAGGGATGTATTAAGTCTTATAGAGGACATTAATATCAACATTAAAGTACATGTATCATATGTAACTAACCTAATATCAGAATACCTATTATTTCATTTAAATGTTTGCGATAGTAACGCACGTCGCACCGGTACATATCAGGTCACATTATAGGAGAGAGGAAATCCCAAAATGACGGAAACTATGCGCTAAAAAACCAGGACCAAGGACGTTGAAATAAAGAGGGGCTCTTACCTTTTAAACCATTGAACCTATTTGGTGAAATTCGGCGCAGCGATAGTTTGAGACCCGGGAAAGGACATCTAAAAGTTTTTAACCCGAAAAACCCACGAAACCGGGAACTGTGCTGTTAAAATCACTATATCTATTTGATTGAAATGCGATACAACATTGATTTGCAAACATAGAATAGTGAAACTTCACGAGACGGGCACTATACGGGTAAAACCTCTATGGGATTGTTTATTTTAGAAACCACGAAAATAAATTCATTTCTCAATAAATATAACCTAGGTACTGAATCGATTGTGATGATATTTGTTCCAGTTGTACAGCCATAGAATATACCTTGACAAAGACTAATTTAAAAAACCCAATTTATACAGAAGTCGTTATTTCACGCGGACGAAGTCGCGGGTAACAGCTAGTAAGTATAATATAATGGTAAATAATAGTTGCATTTGACTTTGTTCTGCTCCACAAGAAGATGAAAACCTTAAAATTTTTGACATTATTCTCATTTTTATAAGTAGTTATTTTTTTTAAATAAGTAGGCAATCTACTCTACGTTCATAAGTGAATAATTTATAGGGATTAATGCATAAGGCGAGCTAACATCTAAGAATTTTGATGAGTCAGTCAGCCGAGATACTTGTCTTTATAATAATTCAGTGACGAAATGTTTACGTATGAGTTAATGACGCGAGACGCAACTTGTGTTGTGTTCGAACTGTTTCATCACTGTGACGTCACACGTCACACTCCCACAGCAGGTCACCCATACCGCCATACGTTTTGAAAATAATGATACTGTGTAATTCATAGTTATTGTAGGATTTGTAGCTTAGCTCTTGACGCACATCACTGGATGAAACGTCTTAAGACTAATCCAGGTCCGTCTAAATGTCAAATTCCGTTTATTTCAACGTATATCGGATTGTTCAGTGGTTATACGAGTAATACAATAATATTTACATCTTCACAAACACCTATTTATAACAGTTTTATTATTACTGATATTGAAGTGACACGGTGAATATGAGGGCCTAATTCACTCATCAATCGGTTCCAGCAAAAATTGGTGGTTGCAACAAATGTTTTCTGACACACTCAGTGTTCTTAGAATTTGAATGACTAACTATATTCATGTGAACAACTTATATCCGAAAAAATGTTATTCTAACACTCATTTTGTTGCGTACATACTATCGCTTATCAGCTTAGGTAATACTGACGTATTTTAAATCTGCATTTTAAATCACCAATATTTATCTACGGTCGTATATTTAAACATATTGCCGGATTCCTTCTTCGATAGGTGTGATATGACGTAAATTGCGTATCATTCTCACAAAATAATTTATATTCTCTCCGTTTCATTGAATTATCTCTAAACAAGAACTCTTATATGATTGCACAAAGAATTCATTGAATTGAATACACTCAAATTCTTCTTTTGTTAGGTTATGTAAATCTTGTAGTGCACATAACAATCATAGATATTCTAATTACAGTATAAGCTGTAAGTATTATTGAATACTAAAAATGTCAAGTGGTGTCGGGCCCTGCCACTAGTAGAGTAATGCACGCACACCGCATGCCGACGCGCGCCACATGCTAATTAAATAAATATCATATAATGTCATATTGTTTCCTGTTTTCGTGTTACATAATACAATCTGACTTCCGACATCGTGGCTCGTGGCTCGTGCCTCACTTGATACTCATTGCTTTCGTGCAGTAGCCCATTGTTTATGGTGGATAGTCAGACTTCGATATTCATTGTGGAGCATTCTTATGTAACATGTCAGCAATAAATCTCTATTTATTCTCAAATACAAAATGAACGCATCTAGCATTGAACTAATGTTTCACAGAACTGGTGGTCTGCTACTTTGCAAAATTTAGTCGTGTACTTACCCTAATTAAGACAAACAATGCGTTATGTAAAATATAAATAATATTCTCTATTGTAAATACGCATTTGTTAGTTACCTACCACATTACTCATTGTTACTTGGCCCCCAGGTGCACAAACGGCCGCTACGTGAAGAAGAGATCGCGGCGATCTGTGAAGGTGTAGTCTGCGGTCTATCTTACTTGCACAGTCTAGGTCGCATTCACCGGGACATCAAGGCGGGCAACATATTACTCACTGAGAATGGCACAGTCAAGCTCGCCGACTTCGGCAGTGCCAGCATCAAGTGTCCAGCCAACAGCTTCGTCGGCACTCCCTACTGGATGGCGCCTGAAGTTATACTCGCCATGGACGAAGGACAATATGATGGAAAGGTTGGTTGACTATTTGATATCGTCATACTTATCTTTTATACTATGATTATATAATATTATAGGTATCTGACTTCTTGTTGGAAATTGCGAGACCTTTTAATGCTTATGGATATTGTTAGTCGATTGGAAATGTATAAAGAGTACATGATCATTTCCAGGTGGACGTGTGGTCGCTGGGCATCACGTGTATCGAGCTTGCAGAGCGCAAGCCGCCGTACTTCAATATGAACGCTATGTCCGCACTCTACCACATCGCACAGAATGATTCCCCCACCTTACAGGTAACTAAAGTTTATTCATTAATAGCTATGAAAACATACTTATTTATTAAATTTTTTTAATTCAATCATTTTTTATTTTAATTACAATCTTTTTTCATGCACTCAAACTGGAAATTATTTTGCGTACATTGTTTTTATGTGATTTCTAAAGCTAATATTTATATACAAAAAAGTACGTGTTACAGGCGCCAGAATGGACGGATACGTTCCGGTACTTCGTGGAGGCGTGCCTGCAGAAAAACCCCGCGGACCGGCCGTCGTCCACGAAGCTACTGTCGCACCCGTTCATCACTCGGCCGCGCTCACCCAACGTGCTGGTGGACCTCATCCAGCGGACCAAGGCTGCCGTGCGAGACCTCGACAACCTCAACTACAGGAAGATGAAGAAGATACTGATGGTCGACGCCGATAACGAGAGTGCTATAGGTACGTACCAATACCTTATCTCTCATACATATTTAGAAACACTTGACCGACTTTAGTGTCGCGTATTTGACCTTTTATCGTTCACAAAAGATTGATACTCGTTACATATCTCGTGTTTAATGTTTTTGTATTGTTTCAAATGCGTAATATTGCTCTTTTTAAGATATCATGTTTATACTATAGTGAAAGATAATGTCTCGAAACATATCCACTTAACAGAATATGAAAATCGTCTGTTCCAAACGGAAAATAATAATGTCTCAAATGGTTATTATTTTGGATGGCGGTACTAATGTTTATGTTGTTTGGGTCCAGGGGACAGCGAGGAGACGGCGGAGGAGCGGTCTGGCGGTGACAGCTCGAAGTCCAACTCCGCCACGTCGGAGCACAGCGCGGCCGGCGCGTCCAGCCAGAGCTCGTCCTCCGGCAGTCTGCGCCGCCGGCCGCACGCGGTCAGTACACTGCATTTATTATAACACGCTTTTATTAAATGGACTGGTAACGAAACTGCAAATTGTTGTATTACAATGAAACTACATGTAGATTAGCTGACCATACAATATTATGGTGCCATCGAGCTGAGCCGATAAAATATTTGGAAGGTGGTTTGTGGGACCTTTTTTATATATGTATATACATATATATATTTAATGGGCCGACGTTTGACCACAATCAGGCGTGGTGGTAAGCGAAGATGCGGTAGATAAGGTAAAGATAAGAGCAGTACTCCATACAGGCTACCAATGCCTCCCCGTGCTCCTCGATGGCCTGGTCTCGCATAATATGTGAGTGGCATACGCAAGAAGGTCCCCAGTAGATCGGTTACGTCGAAACCAGTATTGCCGATCGCTTAGGAGATCGTTACTTTCAAGGCATACCAGGAGTCTATTGTTAAGTACACATTCGAAACGTGACGTTCGTACGATGTGACCGAGATTTTATTTTGAGGTAATTGTTAGGTTAATTGTCGGCACGACAACCTTTTTTGGGCACAGGCTGTACGTTGGCCAGTTTCCATGCAACTGGCACTAAACCAGTCTCCAAGGAAAGTCGAAACAGACGTGTCAGGATTGGAGACAACTCGGGCGCACAGGTTTTTTTATTTACTGAATAAATATGTTTGTGTTAGCAGCAGGTCAACGCGAACCACCACAGCCAGCCGCCTGCGCCGCCGCACTACACTCACCTCAACCACCAACACTCCGCGCACTCCGCCGTGCCCGCCAGGTATGTGGATACTGGTCTACTTATACATATTCATTCAGTCAAAAAATGTTTTTTTTTTAAAACAATACCAATTAATAATAAATTGATAAATCAACAGTATTCTGGATTAACATATTAAGTCAGCTATACCATGCTTCTGTACCAATCTTCTTTCACTAAATTAGAACCACTGATTTTTCTTTTTCGCAATTTATGTGTAATGCGAATATCGCATAAGATTGTATATAAAAATATTATTAGTACTATTATTGTTGCATCCAATCTGTGAAACAATCCAGTAATGCATGTGAAAAATATAGTTCAGCTTGTATTTGTTGTAGTCAATGTTGTATGTCGTAGTTATTTTGTGTGTAGTTTGCTTTAGTTATATTAAATGGAGCAGTAGCAAAATTGTAGTATATTAGCATGGCAAATTGTTTTCTTTGTAGACTGTAGATTGTATGTACATAGATACAGTATAAAGATTTATACAGCTGGTCATTGCATGTTTACATTGTTGAATAACTTCTCAAAATGCGTAAATTAAGGAAAACAGTTTAAAATATATTTAAGGACTAGCTGCATGAATGTTTAGACTGAGGGATCAGATGTAGTAATAAGCACGCACACGTAGAGCTTCCGTATGCACGTCCCGCACTAGATAGAGCCGCACTTGCGTTTCAGAGCACGCAAGAGCTGGCTTTTCTCATGTTGCTGTTTCGTACGCAGAGAGAGCGAGAGCCCTCTAGCGGGGGCCCACGACGACTACGTCAACAAGGACGCACTCAGGGACTACGCCAACCGCGACTCGCTGTGTGACGACTATGGAGATGACTACGCCAACCGCGACGCAATCCGCGAGGCGCGAGACCGCGACCGGGAACGTGAACGTGAGCGCGACCGCGAGCGAGACCGCGAGCGCCCGCCCAGCGACTACCGCGAGTACGTCAACGCGCCCGCCGCCTGGCACGACCCCGACGACAACCGCAACACGCAGCGCAGGCAGACCAGCCGCAGTAAGAACCTTGCTACTAGTATTACACATTTACGTACTCGTGTTGCGAAAGGCTCGACACGACGTCTTGGCCAATTTTTAGCTTATGAAGATATTTGAATGAAGACCTCGATTCAAAGAAAAATCGCTTTATGTTTAACAACTGTTCTCACAGGTATAAGCAATAATGTTTCTGCGGCCATGTCGCTGGTATCAGAACACGGCGCCAACAACTTTGCCACGATACGAACCACCAGCATTGTCACCAAACAGCAGAAAGAACACAACCAGGTAAATATTAAATACATAATATATGTACATTTGCATATTGAATTAACATCATGAGGAGAGGAAAGGAAAATTAAGTTTATCTATTCATATGTGTTAGAGGATGGATAAGCAGGAGTGCTTGGTTCCAGGAGATGCACGAGCAGATGTCGGGCTACAAGCGCATGCGGCGCGAGCACCAGGCGGCGCTGGTGAAGTTGGAGGAGCGCTGCAAGGCCGACGTCGACGCGCACAAGGCGCAGCTCGACAGGGAGTACGAGGCGCTGCTGCAGCAACTCTCGCGGGACCTCGAGCGTCTGCAGGTACACAGCCTTGCAACTGTTACAAGGCTTTTGCAGACCAATTTTTCGCTAATAAGGCTCGTTATAATGTCTCTCATGAGGTTTAACGAGTTAAAAAGACTGAAGTATCTGAAAGAAGTGAGATTAAGACTAGCCAGGCCAGAATTAACCAAAGCATTATTTGAAGCAAAGAAACAATGTCCCATGGTTGTACCTACTTCTACATCTGTTTATCAGATGTGTAATAAAAAATACTTAATTTCAGACCAAGCACGCGCAAGAGTTGGAACGCAAACAGAAACAGAATGCAGCAGCAGAGAAGAAGTTAATAAAGGATATTACAGCGAGACAAGAACAGGACAGGAAGGCGTTCGAGACACAACGCAAGCGCGAGTACAAGGCCAACAAGGAGCGGTGGAAAAAGGAACTCAGCATGGACGACGCCACGCCTAAACGACAGCGGGATGCTACGCTACAGTATGTACTCATCATATCTATTGCACTCATTGACTGGTGAATATAGAGTTAAGAATTTAAGTCAAAGGAATCCCAATGTAAATCGATTGAGATTATCATAACTGATTTATTAAATTTTGCACAATAAAAAGGTTCAACTTTACACATAATTGTATCAAAGTTAAAAATGTTTTCCAAAAAAAAACAGTATAATGAATGATTGCATCTTGTGTATAGGTCTCAGAAGGACAACCTGAAGCAGGCGGAGGCGGCGGAGGAGATGCGACTGGTGCGGTCCCAGCGCGAGTACCTCGAGCTCGAGCTGCGCAGGTTCCGGCGCCGCCGCATGCTGGCGCTGCATCACAAGGAGCAGGAACTGCTGCGGGAGGTACCTACACTCTGCCTAACTTGTATTACTAACGAAAAATGTCCTAAGTTCCTTTCTTATCTACATATTGCGATAATCTCTAATGTGATGCATCATAACTTATTTATGTGAAGAATGTATGTCTCTTCATTAGTACGCCACTGAGTTCGACTATATTTTGATTAACAATTTTGCAGGAGCTGAACAAGCGTCAGAACCAGCTGGAGCAGGCACACGCAATGTTACTACGTCACCACGAGAAGACCCAGGAACTAGAGTACAGGCAACAGAAAGGAGTACACGCGTTAAGGTATGTTTCACTGAATAACTGTCATGTTATTTCGTAACGTATAGTTCAGTAATTTTGTTCAACCTAACCCCCATGTTTCCCGAGCGTACGGCGCGTCGACAGCCATTAGACCACCACGGATGGGGCCCAATAGGGCTGATGCCGATACGAAGCCGCGGAGGACTTTCCGGCTCGAAGGGCAGGAGTAGGGACAGGGTGGTTATTAGTCAATAAGAGTCTGACACTCCCTCCCGCCTCACCCAGACGGGTTCGATGAATTTCCCCCTTAAAAACCCACATTTCCTAATTAATTATCAGACTATTATTTGTATCATTATATTATAATACTACTTGTGTATTTGAAATTAAATGTAAAGTTATCATTAGGATCTATACGTATGTAGAGATGTCAATTTTGTACATGAAATATATTTCCAAAATAACTATCAGGGGTGTGGTGTGATCGCAGTGGCGTGCACAGGTTTTCGAGACAGGGTAGGCAACTAAATATCGTATGATTAACCCCCCCCCCCCCACCCGGTCATACAATCATACAATCATGCTCAAAACACAACACAAGACAGGTAAATGTACAAAACACATTTCGAAAAGTACGTTCAAGAATATTGTGGTTTATTCTTTCGCCAAATTACATACACTGATATCTCGCGTATTTTTTGTGAAGTACTTCATCAGCTATTGAATAAGCCAATAAAACTTAATCGAAAAATGAAGGATCTATTATTTATTTTTATAATGAAGCATAAATTTGATGAACCAAATTTCATTATGGAATTGTTAAGTTTAATCAATCCGTTCAAAATCATAATATACATATTACGAATTTAAGAGCGTAGGTACCGACATTATGTCAACAAACGAAACAATAACAAGCGCGGCCGGCTGTGGCCGAGCCGAGTCTATGCGGTTTTTAGTTTATTACATTACATAGTTATTAATAATAAATTAATATGTAAATCAGTACAACCCGAAGTCTAAGTTGATATTTTTAAGAATTATCAAACAATAAACAAGAAAATCAAATAAAAGATCCATTATAATAGTACATATTTACATTACCTACCTTTTACTTGGGTCAATAGTCAATTCCCGTAACTCGAGTACACCTCTGCCTATGGTCATTACCGGAATCTAGTCCAATAAAGGACATTTTCTTGCGAAATCTTACTGTTTTTACTTTCAACAAACACATAAAATTACCTATTATCCACACAAACTTCACAATCGAATAATATAGGCACTTGTACTAGAAACTGATAAACAAATACACTATTTGAAAAACCTACACATATATTTAACTACTACTACACATATTTACGCAACTTTATGTTTAAAACTAATTCCTAATAATTTAAACGAAAACATAAACAAAGCGATCGCACATCACATGAAAACAATATGGCCGAAAACATTGGAAATGAATTGAAGTCATTACCAATAGTCAATTGGGTGTTTATTATAAAAATAAAGTAGCTTAAAAATTAAGGTAATGCAGCATTTAATTAAAAAAAAACAAAGGTTAATTTAGTAAGTCAAATGAAATTGCATCATCGTCTTAAACCAATATTTCATACTAAAAAACATTCATTCATATAATTTGAAACGTTGTAAATGGCGCCATCTTGACGTATCCATAACTTCCTTTTAACTTTTATAATGATAAAGTCAACTCCTCTATTAAAATTTCTATAAGCCGATAACGCGTAAAAATGTTAAGCTTTAATTAAAACACTTGAAACATATTTGTTAAATACGCATTTATAAAAATACATTCACATTATATTGAACGAGTTCAGAAGTTTCAACAAAAAATTCAATAGATGGCGCTGGTGTGCTCCATTCATCAGTACCTTACCTACTTTACGATATACAGATTGTATCAATTTAAAACCTTTTATGATTTAATTGTTTTTAAAAATACAATAACTTGTTGCTGTTTTATTGTTTTAGAATTCTTAATAAAATACGATCGTTTTCCAAGTAATGAACGAACGATCCTCTAATTTTTTAGTTGCCAAAATTTTGTCAATCAACAGGAGTCGTGTAATATAATTATGAATGGTTATTCTGTCACGTGACTATGGTCGTGATCTTCACGCATGCGCGGTGCATACTTTTAGTACATTACTTTTGTGACGTCACGACTGGCAACCAAGATTTAAGGAATCGCAGCGCATGCGTGGTGCGTGCGGCGCGCATTCATTGCTTTACAAAGGCGTGCGGTCCGTGTATAGTATATATGTGAATGTATATTTATGTTAGCCGTTTTTTTACAAACTTTTATTATATTATTGAATCTTAATAAACGCGTTTGTACATTTTATGTATGTTATATATTCACGATATTTATAAGTCAGGCAAAGCCTTTTCGCCTATATGGACTGCACGCCACTGTGTGATCGATACTAATGCCAAAAATGCAATCACTAACATTTTTGTCTGTCTGTCTGTCTGTATGGCTGTATGTTCCTTATAGAAATAGAAACTACTCGACGGATTTGAACGAAACTTGGTACAATTATTCTTCATACTCTTGGGGAGGTTATAGTACTTTTCATCACGCTACAATCAATAGAAGCAGAGCAGTGAAGGAAAGTGTTGGGAAAACGGGGGAAGTTACTCCATTTTTTAAGCTTCTGTCGCGTGAGCAGGCATAATAGTTAAAGCTACATAGAAATCATATATGACGCAAATGTTCTACATGATGATGATGTAATACATAGGCATTTTACCCCTGGGATCGCGGGCGAAGCCGCTGGCAGAAGCTAGTTCGTAACAATAACACGGCTTTTACTATGTTTATTATATGATTATTATATGAGTAATGTTTATGCAGAGAGGAGCAGTTATCGAACCAGCACGGCACGGAGCTGGCCAACCAGCGCGACTACATGCAGCGCGCAGAGCACGAGCTGCGCAAGAAACACGCGCTTCAGCTTAAACAACAACCTAAGAGCCTCAAGGTACATGCTGTACTATTTATTTATTTATTCAGAGGACCAACTTATACATAAATAAAAATTACTTACATGTATCCTACCTACTTGTGACTCTCACTATCAGTAGTGACTGACAGAACGTACGCGCTAGCCATAACTAACTAGTAAAGCTGCGTGATTCAAAATCGTCGTAGTGAGTACTAATAACTTGCTAGATCCTATGGATCGATAAAAATCTGCTTGTATTCATGCAATCTAAGAAGCACAAAAACTCTACACCTTACATTACTGAAAGGGTGTGGCAGAAATTTACCATACAATTCGTAATTTTCATGCTAACAATTTGTAAATTTGTTTACAGCAAAAAGAAATGCAAATTCGCAAGCAATTCCGTGAAACGTGCAAGATACAGACTCGTCAGTACAAGGCGCTCAAAGCGCAGATACTGCAGATGACTGCTAAGGTGAGAATACCATGTCATTAAACATATCAGTAAATATTTCCAGAAAAATACTTCCAATTTGGCACAATCTGTGGTCATATTTGTTTGCTATAAGATCTTTTATAACTGTGTGGTGCTCTAATTTTATAATATCATGAAGCAACAAGTTTGTGTACATTATAGGAGCATCAGAAGGAAGTGATAAAAACGTTAAAGGACGAGAAGCGTCGCAAGTTGGTCCTGTTGGGTGAGCAGTACGACCAGAGCATCACTGAGATGTTGCAGAAGCAGACCGTCAGGTTGGACGAGAGTCAGATGGTCAGTAACATATTTTCTGTCTATTCCACCATTACATCTTTAAGGATAAATATCGGGATTACTACCTAACTTGACTGACCAACTAGAATAGGTATTACTAGAATAGAATAGATATTTTATAATCAATATAAACTATGATTGTCGGTCTTTGTAGATGGAGTGCCAACAGCTGAAGATGCAGTTGGAGCACGAGCTGGACATGCTGACTGCCTACCAGAGCAAGAGCAAGATGCAGGCCGAGGCACAACGCAACCGAGAGCGGCGCGAGCTGGAGGAACGGGTCGCCGTGCGGCGCGCGCTGCTAGAGCAGAAGGTACCTGGCATCCCACTGGCGCTATGTAACTAGTGAGCCAACCGCGCGGCCGTGTCGTGCTGACCATTCCGTCGTTGTGCCCGCAGATGGAGTCCGAGTGCGCGCAGTTCGTGGCGGAGCGCGCCGAGCGCACGCGTCTGCTGCACGAGCGCCACGAGAGGGAGCTCGAGCACTTCGACAACGAGAGCGCACGTCTCGGCTTCAGGTGCTGCCCTTATACTAATCGTATTTTACGAAAGGTCTTCAATGTGGCTGGCAGTAGTTGCCTCTTCCCACATTTATTGATCTTGCAAAATGCGTGACATAAACTGAGACTAATAATTGTTGATGTCCCGCAGTGCGATGGCGATCGCAGAAGGCAGCCGGGAGGGCTACGGCGAAGAGGAGCAGTCTCTGTCGGGCTCGATGCTGTCTCTGGCACACAGCAACTCGTCCGCCAGCTTCGCGGCCGGCTCGCTGTAGTGCGCGCCGGTCCGACGTACTGCGGCCGAGCCTGCCGTTATCGCCTAATGCTGTTGCCAAACTACTCGCTTATACACACGTTACGTGTACGCTTTACTAGATCATGCTTGTCATATTCGTGATGGAAAATTTGATTGTAATGACGCTCGGCACGCGATTCCTTCATCGTTCATCTTTGACTCGAGCCACTGTGATAAGGCCGGTCACTCAATGATGTGGTGTAGGAATCGTATTCTAACGGCGTCGTCGGTACAACGTACATTGCTGTATGGCCAAAAAAATATAAAAAAAGGATCGAAACTTGTAAAATATTAACATCGTGTTCGTCAGTGGCGTATACACAAACAATTGATTAAAGTCGTGTTAAGTAATTATATTCTGAATCTGATTAACCATTTACATTGTGATTGCTACGTGCATAATTGTGTTCATCATACATGATTTTGAGAGACCCTAAGTTTAATTTCGATCCTCGCTATATGTAGAATTAGTGTTTGCTCAAAAATAGGGCGCCCCCTGCCCTAGCAATGTTTATCCTCTTTTTATATTTTCTTGGTTATGACGTCTGCCATATTAGTGGACCCGGGTGTAAATATTGTAGATTGATTATTCACTGATGATGTTGAAGTGTCACACGCTCATAGCGCTCTCTAGTATTCAGAGCGGTTACATACAATCGATTGTTGTTATTATCGTTAGCAATGTTCACGGGCTACCTCATTAGACTTGTTACGAAAATTATATGTGTTGATTGATAGAATCGTGTGAGTACATTGTGGTCCGCAGAAGTATTATTTCCGAGTATGGGCACAAACAATGTTTTGGCACCAGCATTAGAACTCCACGTCCCATTCTTATTACTGAGACTGTCTGCCCTCCCGCGGTGTGTAAATTCATGTTATTTGGCAACATGTTATTAAAAATACTGTTGGACACTGATATTAGCCTAATTTTTATGTATTTTTGTTACGTCTTCCAAAGCGAAAGTGCAGCCGTTCCTCTAGCGGCTCGGGAGGGCATTTCCTATTTTATTACACTATTAAGTTTATTGCACTCCATAATTAATTAATTATCTCTTAGCTACAGTCGAGTCGAGAGACATTGGAAAGTAGTAACCTGCAGTAGGGACCACTGGTATTGTGGTTACTATTGCACGTTGTGAGGAGCCACAAACATTCTCGACCCACTTGTTAATGCATTACAGTGTTTCTGGTGTTTTGACAAATTATGTGAACTGAACACATCTACATTTGTACATACATAACATTATGTAGGTTTCAATTATATTTTAGTTAGACGGATCAATGTAGAAGTGAATAATAATTTATTGTATAATAATATTTTTATGTACCGCATCCTTATTTTAAAATAAAAATTATTTAAAAATCCTAGATTTTTTAGCCATCAATCGAAAATTGTGCCTAATTCTGCCTAAACGATTTATCAAAATATCGGAAACAGTAAAGTTGTAATTCTAACAAAGAGGTTATACGCAAGTCTGCCTGTATATGTCTGAGGTTATTTAAATGATGCATCGATGTGAGAATGAGACGCTTCTTTTCTATTATAGATTTACTCACGGTACGACACTGTTCCGTTGGCTTGCCAGCCCTCACGGCCCTAGAAATTTAACGAAACATTAGTTGTAACGGAGAACTCGAGTAACTTGCGCTGTCGAAGTACTCGCACTACACTTACTACATTGTTGTCACACGATAAATAAAATTAACACTTAAATCTAAAACTTAATTTATTCGCGTCTGAATATTCGATCTCTTAGACATAAGAAATTTTTATCATCTCTAGAATATTATTAGACCGTCCATCGTTAAACCGCAGCACATGTACAACAACGGAACAGTGTCCAGTAGAGGGCATGATTATATTTAAAAATCTAGTATTCCTGATCCAATCTTGTATAAATATGTAGTTTATCGTAAGTTTCCACAGTGGTTCTAGCTGATTTTCCATCTTGATGCTCTGATGAAACAAGATTGAAAAATGTCACAAGTGATTACCACGAGCACGTCAAATGCTAAGTTAAGGCAAACTTTGTAGTGCATCCCAGGAACTTTGGTCCTCAAAGTGTACGCTTAAGATGTTTGAAAAAAGGCATTAATTAGATGAAGTAGTCAGAGACGAGGCACCGAGCCGCGACCACCCCGCCCCACCTCACTGTTCACAGAGGATCTTATTATTTACAACATTAGATAGACAAAATTCTAATATTCATATCATTAGTTTTTACTTTAGGAACCATTTTTTCATGTTATATTAATGTAAGTTGAATTTTTTGAAGAGCGGACTGACGGTATTTGTTTATTGGCCTAGTATTGAGTTTATTAAATGTTTAAAAAGTTTTTTAACGAAGACGTATATTATTATGCTTATTTTAGATCATTTTTAGATTTTAAAAAGATTGTAACACGCTTTACTAAATCATAATAACAATGCGCAGGTACCACTGCCGGTTCGTTGTGTAAATATAAAGTGTATGTATTATTGTGAATATGTAGCGAGCACACGATTTGCCTTACGGGCGGAGGGGCGCGCCGGGCTCGGCGTTATGTATATAAAGAACAATAATTTAAATATTATAAATAATTTGTTACTTTTGTAAGGTGCGAGTGCGGTTTTGTGTACATTGGAAGTGCGACGCGGCGGCCCCCGTGCGGGGCCAGACTATGTGCTATTTTCTTTATTTAGTGTCCTAATACCCTATCGTATTGTGTACTAAGCTTACCAGTCAAATATGTATAGCAAATGTATTATTTAATTTAAAATGGATTATAGTCATAAATACCCAAATTTAGTTAATACTATTTTTAAAGTATTTTTTATTATTTTTATTAATATTTTTCCTAAAGCATCACATGATGTGATCGTATTATTTGAGTTTGTTGGAAGATTCCCGACGGATTTGAAGTATCGCAGCCTAAGTTGATTAGGTATAAAAAATATTTACAAAACATTTGACAAAATAGCTGTTTTATGTAAACATCTTTGCACAATGCCATTTATCCGAATAATATAATATAAAAAAGTTGCTTCGATTTCCTAGATAATACAAGTTGAGGTAAATGGCTTTGTGGAATAGATTATTAGATTCAGATTATCCCCTTCTAAACTGACCAAATATAAGACAATAATCTCTAGACACAGCCTAACTTGAGTTGTCACCCTCTCTGTACATATTTGTAGAATGCGAGTGCGCGAAGTGGACCTAACCGTTGGAAGTACTTAGTGCTGTTATGTATATAATACTGAGTCGGTAAACAATTTCTAAAAACTCTGTAAACTTTGTCTCACTGTAATATACCTACTAACAGTTATCTTGATACGAAACTACGCTTTTCTTGGCGTGCATTATCGATTGGATATCGTTTTGAATATTATTTTCGACAATATGGCGGGCGGTATTCCGCTGCGTTACGTCCACTCTCCAATCTCCGCAGTTTCGTAGCTAAGCTCGAACCGAAGCACTATGGAATTGAATTTGTAAGCTGTAACTTCGCTTGCGTGCATGATGCAACAGATGATCGGTACTTAAAGTTAGGCGCGTAGTATTTTGCTCGCTGTCTTAGTCCTCTGCCCGAACGTCGGCGGACTCTACCGCCGGCCACGGGGTACGAGTATAGGGCGTAGGCGCGTCGTTTTCCTATTCCAACCTCCCACCACTTAGCTGTTCTAGAGTTAGATGTTATCAGTTAACTGTCACCTTTCAATGGTCACGATCTACAGATTAATTATTATGAGATAGAAGTACCAAACTCGTAGTTAGCGGTCACGTATTTTGTAAATTGTAACTATACAATTTTTATATTTTACCATTGTATAGTCTTTTATCACAGATAGGTAGTTAGCAATATTGTGACCGATGTGACAAGGTGCGCACGCGCGGCCGCCGGTTATTGATTATAGTTTGCGATTGTTAGCGGCTCGCTCGGTGCACCGTTGTTTTCTTTTTATTTTTGTTACATAATATTTAACAATGAATTTCTAGATTCTAACTATTATCACTAATAATACTGTAATATAATCTGGTTCATGAAAAATCAAACCGAAATAAATTAAATGGAAAGAATCACCATCTTGTATTATTGAAAGCACCCCTGTCTCATCAGCTGTACACCAAATAAAAGTTAGTAAAACTGTCTAAAAATCTATTTCTGAACTAACATAGAAGTTAAACAAAAACAAGGATATACAATAACAATACCAAAGTACATTATTTCAGATGATTATCGTGAATTAAGCCTTAAAATTGATCTTAAATATAAATATTACGGTTTTGTTTTTCATAAATGCTATCAAAAATAAGAAAAAAATAATCTATACTACAAAACTGGTGCCGCGTCTCCCTCTTATAGTGAACTGTAAACTGTAGTTACTGAATGTAACAGCTTAAAATATAGTAATTATAGAAAATGGTATTGTGCTATTATTATTGCAGACTAGTGCGTACTTGTCTCAACACAATACAATATGACGATGTGTTTTCTGACTAGCTACCAATATCATCTTTTAATTAGTAGTTGTAAATGTTATAATTTCGTTTAGTCTGGATTTAAATCGCCAAATATACATACATAGAATACTTCTGTATTCACATATAATGAATCAATATTTCATATTACTTTCACTAAATGCAATATCATCTACAAAGCTGATAGTTTTAATCTTACAACAAATGTAACGTCGTAATGAAGTATCTTAGATCATTCTCTGATACTTAATATGTTGGTTCTAAGCCTGCAATACAATTTATGCAGAAATTATATTAATAACTTTATCTTTAACAAATATCTAGCGTTTTAAGTAGGATATGGTTTACAATTGGATAGTGACCCCCATCGAATTCTTTAGAAAAATATTTTTAGATGAAGGCAGTTGTTTCTAGAGGATTGTAAATGCGGATGTCGAAGGCAGTTCGCAGGGTGCAGTGATTTACTGAGTGGGAGAGAACTGTGTGGGTTCGAGGATACGGCAGTGCATCTCGCGGATGAGTGGCACTGTGTAGGCCACGCACTCGTCCCAGCCAGGGTTGCGCCATGTGCTCTCACGTGTCTCACGACGAGCTTGAAGATCTTTGTAGCCTGCAAAGCATTCAAGTTTCAGTTTTCTTTCTGACCTATAAAAGACACCTCTTTTTAGCCGTTATTGCAGTTGGATAAAATTAAACTTACACCAAATGTGATGCACGTTGTAGAGTCGTCCAATCTGCGAGAAGTATCCAGCAAATGCTTCATTCTGTGATCGACGGTAAGTGAGACCGCGAGCCCAGTTGTTGCCCCACTCGATCATAGTTCCCGGCTTCAGACTTAGAAGAAGGACAAAAAATTACATTAGAAAATATTGAATCAAAAGTCATATTTACTTATACTTTATAAATAAGTAAGACAAACCTGTAAGAACGAATTTCGTAAATGTTGCTGGGCTCGCGAGGTTCTCCATTGGGCCAAAAGCTAAATGCCAGCAGGTATTGTAAGTGTCGGGATCTTACTAAGCTACCACGCTCCTTCTCTAATGCTCTATAATCCTGCATAACACAGAAAACAAATCTGAAAAATCATTTTCCCAACCTTTAAGAAAGGGGTGTAAAATATACTAAGAAAAACTGGAGTAACAGAATAGTACAAACAGCAGCAACAAATTGTTTGTAAATAAAAAAAGTGCATGTTGGCAGTATGTCAAATATTTTATAGTAAAATAAATGTCTCGTAGACTATAATTTTATAAAATATATAGTTTTAAAGTACCTAATACATTTTTGCATAAAATAATTTAAAAATGAGCATTCTTGCAAGTTTTATAAAAGAATTAGCCATCATTCATTTTTGGATGAATAAATACTGTTCAAACTTCTGTCCTGACTTGCTTCATGCATCTTCTTGCTTATGTTCTCCTAAAAGCTCTCTTGTTGGGAATCTAAGCTCTCTCAAGGGATAACCCTTTGATATGTATTAGGTATATAGTTAAAGTCTGACATGCCACTATCAGTTAGTTGCCATAAAATATTGATAGTAAATATTAGCCACTACCAACATGTCTTAAAATCACTTATTAAAGAATTGTTTATTATGGTTGCAGCCAATACCTGTACTTTTCTATAGAACTGTAATAAACCTTATGTTCAATTACTATAAATTATTTTCATACCTTATCAATTTTTTACATTCAGGATGATTTTAAAAAAAGTACAGTAAATATTTTACCATCAAAATGATATCTTACAGCATTTTCTTTGAACATAATCTTTGCTTTATCAATCTTTTCGAATCCTCCAACATATCTCCAGAGGTGCAAGGCCTGGTCCATATCTCCCACGGACACTGTCCATGATCCCACTAACTCGCATCCCAGTTCTGCTTTTTGTGAATGGACAAACTCAACTGAAGTTTTGCTAAAAATAAAGCAAGTAAATAATTATTTAATTAATTATGAATGTTATAATGCTATAAATGTAACAGATCTAGTACAAAGAGTTAATTAATCTGTCAAACACCAAGCGGTCACCGGTGACCGCGACCTATTGTTCTTTAATTGTGTCTATAAAACCGGTACTCGACGAGTTAATGTTGTGATATAATTTAAAGTTTGACAGTTTGTTTTTAACAACTGAAACATGGAAATCAGCTGTTACTGAATTCCAGACCTCTTACTTATTGAGGAACTATAACAGAATTATCTAAGAAACAAGAGTATACTTCAACAATGTTACTGATGTAAGGGGTCAAGGTTTCATTCAGATAACATTAATTATAATTTATGTAGGATCTGTAATGACTTGTCAACTACAGCATTCTATTTACAGAATGTTGCATAATACTAATAACTTGCTCACTAGTTTACATTCTACTGTACATGCATTTAGTTTCAGTACTTATGTAAGAAATAATTATTATGCAAACTCATACTAATTTTGCAAGTATTTGTCCATCGAGTCGGGCCTTATGTTATGTGTGTGGAGTGCATAAATTATCTCCTTGTCACTAAGCATCCGACTGTGGGACTCCTTCGTTGGTTCAATCCTTCGCACCAACAGCTTCGAAAACCATCCATCATCGGCGTTCGCTAATCGTGCACTTGTTGAAATCAACCTACAACAATAACTTCCATTTACGCAAAAGTTCCAAATTTAAAACCGGACACTGTACAAAACAACAACACGAAAAGTACCTCGTATTCTTCGGGATAGTTGTACTTAAAGCTAACACTCTATTTAGAGAATTCATTTTGAGAACAATATACGTTGAAACAAGATTCTAAACTACTAAATAATAAGTTGATAAAAAGTAATTCTTGTTATCAACAATTGACAAAATCACTTGAAGGTTATCTTGAAAATAGATTTTGCATACGTAGTGACACCTATCATGAGTGACCGAAACTAGAACAATATTGTTAAAGTCAGCCAATCAACTCGTAACCACTTTCTTTGTAAATATTGTTGTGATCTCATTGATAATTTTGATTTTTTGTTTCTGTTTAACATGAGGATTTTTAATATTGCTATTTCACTCGTATGCTACATCTTTATCACCAACTGGACTATTGCTGAAACTGTCAAAATATTGAGACAGATTCTTTATACGCAGCTATTTTAAGAAGATATGACTGAAAAAAGACAATTATTAATAGTTTCAAACGTAACTTTACCTTTATTAAACATACATGAATATTTAAATAAACATATTGCCGCACATCTTTAAACCTATCGAGTGAAATTGTGTCTAGGAATTTGAATAAATGTACATAAAATTGTGGCAGACAAGATACGGTTTCGTATAACGTAACACCATGTTTATTGACTGATGGCCGACAATTTGCTGACAAATTGTCATTTCTTTCTAATGAATAAATATTTTTTTACGCAGACTGACAAGTGAATTCAAGATATTTTTAAGGTTCTGCATCTCTTATAAAAAACCTCGTCATGGGTGAGTAGGCTGTCTAAATTGAATATTTTTTGCGTTCAGAACTTGTTTGTAATAGTGGGCGGTGTTGTCTTGTCAGTGTGTCTTGTGACTATGTCGATTTGTGTAGCTTCGAGCGAGGTGACGAAGCTTCAGCAGCACCTGGCGCTGCTAAAGGAAGAGTATGGGAAGCTACAGAGCCATTGCGCTGAAGTGGAGCGCAAGTATACGCTGGCTGCTGCGTCGGCCGGTGACCTGAGCGAGACGAGCTTTGTGGCGCGCCTGCTGATGACAGTGGCCACTTTGTATGGCAGGGAGACATACTCTGATATTACTATCAAGCTGCAGAGCAAGTCCATGCCTGGTCATAAGTTCGTACTGAATGCACGCTCTGATGACTGGAATGAGGAAGCCCTTAAAAATCTAGAAGAACTAGGTGAGGTTTATTGTTTTTACTACAAATGAATTGCGTAAAAACGATGTTATTTAGCTAAATTACCATACTGAGTGAAATGTTATATTAATTTCATTATGCATTGATGCAGTTAAAAACAAGATTTCACCTTTGTCTTTTCTTTCAGATTGGACTACCCTCCCTGATGAGATAGGTGCTGCTCTTCTTAAATGGTTATACACAGATGTGGTTGACTTGTCCCGAGGAGATTCCTTTGCACTTCAATTGATGAAATCGGCAGCAGGCTTCAAGCTCCATGGTTTAGTTGGAAAGTGTGAACAAGCCCTGATAGCGACTGTTGGAGTTAGGTGGGTATTACATTTTTTGTAGATAGCAAACATTTATTTTAATGTAACAAACAGAATTTGTAAATGAACTGAACTGCTGATAAGGGGACTTAATGAGTTGTCACTTTATATTTTTATAGCAAAGTAGGCCTGAAGCCTTTATTACTCACCACATTATTTCAGTAACAGTTATTTAACTTTCAATGTAATGACTCATAATGAAAAATCTGCATGCATTTGCAAACTACTTTAATTATTGGTTGTAATCATAAAAAAATTAACCAAGCATTTAATGTTGTTTTCAGATCCTGTGTAAAGTTTTATTCAGCTGCTGATGAGATTGGTGCATCAGCTCTGAAAGAGCACTGCTCAGGACTTATATCGGCTCATTGGGATGATCTTACAGGTACACTTATACAGATCTTGTGTCATAGGATAAATACTGAGAAAGACTTGACCTGTGTACAGAAAGCAATCAAAATCATTCCTAACAGTGTCTGATTGAAACTACATAATAGTATACACAATATATATTTGATAGTCCGATGTTTGAGCCCTGTCTCGTCTGGAGGTAAGCGATGATGTGGTCTACGATGGATTACTATACAAATACTATATCATGAGGCAGATTAATCCTAGATAGCACCCTCGGCAAGCATCGGCATCTCATACGCGCACCTAATTTTTTGGCGCTACCGCCGTCACTCTATGAGCACGCGTATCTCGTGGTGCCTTTCAGTAACCTAGCGCCCTAGGCTTGCCTAATCTGCCTTAGTGATAATACGGCTTCAGAGCCGTATAGTCAGCTATATCTGATCAAAATCATCTTTAACTGGGTAGACTGGAGTTAGTCATGAAATGAAATTAATAAAATAGTTGGAGACATTGAAGCAAGGCTTGCTATTGTTGTTTGCAACAGTGTGTTAAACACAAGTAATTGAATTAGTAGGTCCCACCAATTCAACAGTTGTGCGGATTGTACTTCAGTGCTCAGTAACTATATTATTGGATGAATATTCAGTAACTTCAATGCATCCATTGATCAATCACTATATGACATTAATTTGTTATAAATACTATGCTATCCATCTATGCTATGATAATTATGATATTATGGTAAAGTATATTACTATATTATTGCAATACATGTTTTATATTTTTTGAGGTAAGGAAATAAGTAGGGACACATAAACTTCTATAAACTTTCCCAATGGAAAGGTTACGACAAAGTTGAAATTTCCCTTTATTGTTATTTTTGGTCCATTTTTTTGTGTTTAATTATTTATACAATGCAGATATAATACAATGAGGAAACTACTGCCATTTTTGACCTTGTTGCGTGATTTTAATGTAAAACCCAGTTGTAGGCATTTAACAGGCTATTGCCTGTTATATTATTATTTATTTTTGTTATTTTCGGTAATTGCCGTCTGTGGTGTGTAAAACAATAAAAAATTATTACTAATCAATGTACCAATCGTGCAGTCGAATTTTTATATTGTTACTATAATCAAATATTTTATTATTATATTAACTAGTGGACCGTGCAAACTTCGTACCGTTTAAAAATAATGTCACTTTTTAAACCATCTCTGGACTTCACCAAAATTAGCCAAATGCGTTCAGCCGTTCTCAAGGTTTAGTGAGACTAACGAACGGAAATTCAGTTTTTATTATATAGATTTGTATTGTAGGTGAGGACTTCGCGCACATGTCGTCGGCGCTCCTGTACCGAATGCTGAAGAGTAAGACCTCGCAGCCGCTGCACGGCGCCGTCAGATTGCTGCGGGAAGATGTCGTGTTCCTGTGCCTCGTCGAGAACCACGCCAACGTGAGTATATGCATGCTTTTATGATAAGTCTTGGATTAATGAATTTTTCCACCGCAATACTTCAACTTTATGGGTATTGCGCCTTATGAAAAAGAAAGTTGATTGATATATTTATATCTATTATCACATTAACATTGAGCATAGCAGGCCCTTAGTAAATTTGTAAAATATATAAATTTTTAAGTTGTAACTAGGTGTTGTGCAAGTCTTCGGGAGTCTATCACCCATTTACATAGATAGTTCTAGATAGTTTAATGAAACAATATTTATATAGTTTAATTTCAAGGAAAATTAATTAATATTAGAGTCGATTGTAGTACCTTATAAAATCATTTCCATTATGATTAGAATTATATTTCGGTGAAATGTAATATTTTATATCTAATTAGCATATTAAATGAAACTGAATAGGCTGCGTACTGTTTGCACGATTCATCATCGTGTTCTGTGTCATAGCGTGAGTACTTCCGTCATGTTAAACATTGATACGTTTTTACTTTCATTATGTCTAGTTTTGATACCAACAAATTAATACTGTGGGTTAAAATGGTACAATTTCATAATATTTCTATAATTAGAGAGAGAACGAAATCTGACTTATAAAAGAGTATGTCTTGTCAAGTTAGTAGCAACTGCCAACTAGTTAAATCGGTTATCTAATCCGCGAGTCGACGTCGAACTACTTTCAACATTTGATAACATGCAATTATGGTTAGCGAATAGATTTTGATATCGTCCAGGAAGTTGATAATGTGCTGAACTTTATACTATTTTGTAGATTAAACGTTAATCAACCTGTCTGAAACTTTCCTAAACTACTTATGTGACAACTTCCCGTAATTTGACATTTTTGACTCTATTGTAAACCAGTAAGATTGAAAATCCATTAGAAATGACAGATCTGACTTAGTTCATCTGTTTAGGATATTAGTTAATCTTTTTCTTCTTACTTATTAAATACTTGGCCTTGCTATAAGCCGGTAATCTGTCTCACTACTGGATTAAGACCTCTTCTCACACCTATGAAGAATTAATCTGAACATTGTCTGATCGGCTATTTTAGATTTTCCTTTAAAAGTTCAAGTTACCTTACAAAAAATTCGGTTCAATAAAACTAAAATTGTATAGGAATGGTAATAATTATTCAATTAAAAGATTACACATAAATAAGTATCACATAAAATAATATAATCAACTGTACGTACATCAGTGATATTTGAAATAGTCTTTATTTCTGCAACAATAAACAATTAATTTCAATTGTTACCAATGAAGTACATAGGTTGATGGATCTTACTTAAATAAAATATTACAAATTGTATTTAACCGTTTACTGGTTTAGAATTAGAAATGACTCAAGTATTAAACGCTAAACAGATGTTGCATAGCTCATACTTTAGTAGAGTTCCCGTTACTGTCGAACAATAGACAATAAATTATTACTTTCACTAATCTTAAAACATTTTACTACATCTCTAAAGACAATCAATTAAGATATATATAAGAGTATACATTATTATTTTATGACGTTTACAATAATAAAATTGATATTACATACTTCCAGAAAATAGCATAGAATTTAATATTCATCTGTATTTTATGTACGACGGAAACGGGGACCTACCGAACCGAAAACACAGATGACTTTATCATACGTTAATAAAAGAAACATTATAATAATTGATTAACTAACTAGTATTACTACCTACCTGAAGTGCGTAAAGAGAATCACAGGCTTGCAATCTTTACATGAGTTTGACTAGCAGTAATGCGTATAACACGTATACATAGAATGCACCACTGTCCGAAGCTCTTTGGGATCGTTCATAACATCGTCCGTCGAACTTACAACTATTGGCAGTATAAAGACCCGTATAGAGGTATTAGGGATCTTATTTATCTAATTGTTATCATTAAACATTGTCAACCGTTATTTTATAGCGGTTAACAAGCGATTTTAAACTAAAACTAATTTCTAAGGTGTTATGACTTAGTCTTAGAAAGCATTAGTATGATAAAACTACATATTACATTACTTTTTGTAAAAAATCAAATTAGAAAATAGCAGAAATTCCAGTGTATCTACAAAGTGTTAGAAATAATAATAATTAAGAGGAAAACGCCAATGAAAGCGAAATATGCACCACCACGTATCAACCATATTACTCAATTGGTTAAAATATTGATTGCACGCTTAAACAATACATAAATATATTTTTGATATAAGCTCCTATCTCCTATTTCTCATAATATACATAAATTGAAAGTAAAATACTAAGCTTAAATATAACAGGAATTTAATTTTTGTTCGCGAAGCGTGTCTTCAAATAATCTAACAGTAAATAGAATCTGTTTCATAACTGATCTTGATCTAGATTAGTCAGTGCTACGTGCATTACACCTATGTGTAAAGCCTTAAACTAACTTAAAACACCTAAAATAATGACAGCAGCAAACGCTAACAAACTCCCTAGTATTTGTTGACTACCATTGCATCGGTCGCCTCGGCAATAACAATACATGGTGTTCGGGGAGCGCTCGGAGTTGCTCGGGTCTTCCGAACAGGTTTCCTCATAAACCTCGTGTATGTCCTGGACCGCTCGCCATTTGCCATTGATCCTCCTTTGCTCTCCATTCGCTGTCTGACTCGCACAGCCTCTCGTTATACTCTCCGATGTCACTGTAACAAATACATTTATAAGGAAAATAAATAGGGGAAGCCCATTTGTCAGTTCACTCTGTTTTCTTACGAGTGTTTGTTCTTATTCTGATGAACAGGAAAATGGGAATACTTGACACATTGATGAAGATCAATTGCTTTCACTAGTTGTCATTGTTGTTGCTTTGTAAGCCTACATTGAGCATATACCAGATTGACAATGCGGTTTACATACAATATTTAAACAAATGATGTAATTACACGAAGCTAAGTATTCTAAACACGATTGTGAAAGTAATGACTTCACAACAATCATTGTATTACGCGACCTGTAACAATTAATGTAATTTGAACTTTGACTTGCATGTGTTAGGGCTGCAGGGCCTTTGATACAGACACATGAATATAAATACCACTTCGGCTTAAAGCTAATCGTATGTTGCAAAAATAATAACAAATGATGAACAAAAATGGATAAATTCGAAAGTTCTGTTCTCGTTTCGCCACAAACCTCTGTTCAATAAATGGAAAAAAGTCAAGCTGCGTATAATACATAAATATGTGGACGCGCATAATATTCTTATGCAACGTTATATGTAACAGTGCCACTTCTAGTAATGTAACTGCTGCATATAGTCATGCAGTTATGGTACAAATGGTAAATTCTGCTCATTTAACAGACCTTCTATGCGCCTTCGTAGCGTGTACTCCATAATAGTGCTCTATTTAACAAGAGGAACTGATAATTCATGACTCAAACACCAATTTACAGATATGTTTGTAATTCCAATTAAGAGAAATATTGTTTTACACTTGTTTAGGGAAATTCCGATGACATATAATTTTTTACTCGATTTTTTAGTTCAATTAGCATTTAGAACGTACCTACTGACTGAATACTGACTAAAAGTAATCATTTCGATTTTGTTATGAAATAAGAGTCTAGATAACTTGTTTAAATACAGACTTCCATAAACTTTGTTGTTAATGCATAGCTTTATCTCATTGCTAAGCCATTGCAAGCGAAAATCTCTTTCCCACTTCTGAGAATAAATAGAGATATTCACATTAATTTATTTTTAATTAGAGATAATAAAATAAAAATACCGATCCACATATATTTGCTAAGATAATAATGGCACTTTCTACTATATCTAAGGATGTTATTCGCAAACAGTTTGTAATGTTATTTCATGTGGAGAGACAAGTTTTTGATACGTCCATTTTGATCTGTGACATTTGAGTGTAGCAATAAAGCAATACTTGCGCCACGTACTGGCCACATGACACATATTCCTTTTAAAGGAGCGTTTCGTAAGGAAGCCGCGTTAACGGTACCATATACACTATTTTATTGACCACCACTTCCTTTAACCACATGTTTATAGCTTCTTATGAACGATGTATTGACTGTCGGATAAACAACGACTTAACATATTTCATTTCAAGGAAATGTTAGATAGTAGAGTTTACGGAAGCATCAAATCTAAATTTACGTGTGACTAAGTAGCAGCTGTTGAGATTCCCAGAAAGGAAAATCACAAAAACATTTTAATGTCTGTAATGTCAAGTTCAATAAATACTAGAAGCAACGTAGCGTGGCTTATATAAATTACTGTAGTATTCTAAGCAGTAAATCTGCGGTTAGTGATGTATGAGTTTTTTAATGGTTAGGGCGCGTATCGTTCAACCGCGATGAAGGTGGCGGTCAGGGGTCATTGGCACTAAGTCTCACGGGCAGCTGGTGTCTAGTCAGTCTAGCTCTATAAATATACTTACCTCAACGAATTAACATTCGCGACTATTACCATAAACTTATTTATAATATATCTAAGTGCCTTCACCACACAAGTGCGTTTCAAGTTCTCGTTGCATAGAGCTTTACATTACTATTGAATTTACTCCAGGTTTTGTAACGGCATACAATTTTATTGGAAATGTTAATAAGATGTACTTGTCATGTATGAGTTGGTAACACATGGTTGAGTCAAATATGCCGGAGCTTTCAACGGGGTCTGGAATGTGATTAAGACGCGTCTGTCTTTGATGTGTTAAGTGTGGTCAATTTACAAATGTCGATATGACATGATTCATAACTTGAAATAGAAACTACAAAAATAATCCTAGTCGGTTCTTGCGGCGCTTGTACTTGTACTGAAATATTTATTGTTTTGGGCCTGCTGCGTGTGGGTAACGTTTATAAATGAAATATTTGTAGTTGCCTAGTTGGTCTTGAAAATATTTGTTAGATCTAATTTTGAACTGTGAAGTATATTCATCATCATTCATGTCTAGTTTTAAAAAGTTTTTAGCCTCAGATCAGATTCATTCATAAAATATTGGTCTATCTACTGGAAAACAGACCGATCAGATACCTCCACTACCCAAGAAGCCATTTTATTATCAGTTCCTATACAAATTATAAACCACTAAAGTTGAAATGGACTATACAAAATTCCTCCGCTTGTTCATCACTTGTCTTTTTTATTTTGTTTATTTACAATCAGGTGTACTTACATCCCTGACTGAATTCCAGCGTGGTGACCTTTTTGAAGCACATGGTGGAGAGCTTACACTCCGTCAAGTATTTGCTGCTGTAGTCGAACGACAGACACGGCAGCGTCTCGTGTTCTGGATTGCACGTGTAGCACTGTAAACTCCATGACACTAGAAAAAAAGATAATACCTGTTTCAAAGCAATTGACGCTAAAAAGTTGATGTATCTAGTTGGAGAGGGAGTGACAGTAAAATTTTGTTAGTTCATTTAGGAATCTAGTAATAATTGAGATATGTATCTAACCGCCATACTCCGAGTCATTAGTTACTTAACTTAGTGTTATACAAAAAGTTGCTAAGGAATGGTTTTAGTAATCAATAAATGTCTCTAAGTACGGCAGTTACTGTATCTTCTAGAAGTTAAACTAAAGTAACATTGTAGTTTCTTCTCTTGAAAGAAAATTTATTCTGTGCAATAACACACAAAAGTTCCGTTAGATATGAACAACTTTAATAGTGTTAAATTAAACCTAATGACTGCGGTTTCCAAATTCTCGTGGGATCAGAAACTGTGGTTCGAATTTTTATGATAAGATTAATATTTTCTATAGTATATAGTATTATGTAGTGTTAAATTGTAAACGTTTTCGTTTAAACAATTTTATTATACTAGTTAGATTACTTTAGCGTTGACGTCATAGTATTTTTTGTAATTTCTTACAAGTGGGACATAAATACCATTTATATGCCATACTGTTATTTTTTTATTTTTCACCTTTTCAACATCAACTGGAAAGGTGACATTCTTGACCTTCAATACAATGCAGGTTTTGCACGATTTTTAGAACAGTGTGATTATGTATTATCTTTATCTTGACTTCGTGTGTCAAATAGATAAAGGCTGTTTTGTATGATGCCATACTCAACACTTACTCGGGACCTATTTAAAATTCATGTAATACTAAATTATTATGTACTATATTACTAGCTTTCACTCGCGGCTTCGCTCGCGTCACAAAAGAATAAAAAGTAGCCTATGTGACATATACCAATACACGCAGCGCCATCTATACCAATACTTTTGTTTTTCCTCGGGAATATAAATTTTTTCCGGGTTAAAAAGTACCCTATTATTTAATCTGGACTTCTAACTTTACGTCTGCAATAATTCAAAGCAATCGGTTGAGTAGTTACGGCGTGAAGGTGGAACAAACAAACTCACTTTCAGATTTATAATATTAGTAAGGATAAGGATACATACTTCTGTATAATACTTCAAGAAAAACAGGTTTGATGTTATCATTACATTTGTTTTATTTTTCACCTTTTTAACATCAACTGGAAAGGTGACATTGTTGACCTTCAATTCAATGCAAGTTTGTCTTCAATTCAATCTTTATCTTGACTTCGTGTGTCAAATAGATAAAGGCTGTTTTGTATGATGCCATACTCAACACTTACTCGGGAGTTATTTAAAATTTATGTAATACTAAATTATTATGTATTATAATTCATATTCATAAATTTTTCATAGTTACCAATATGGTAAAGACATGGCACTGTGTTCACCGCGGCAACACCCACGTATCCTTTTCGAGATTTAATCTGTCAACTTTAAAAAACATTTTGCTAATGGCAATGTCTCACTTTTTAATACAAACAATTTTGTAAGTATTCATATGAACGTACAAAGTCAGGCCGGGTTGCTAGCTTTAATGTTTTCATGCACGAGGATGTGGTGACACAAATATCAAGAGTATTTATGTATAAGTTCGTTGTATCCAGCTCTCACAATAGTCACAATACTGGAATACTTGCAAATCTTTAAGGGAAACTAAGAAGCCCAAGTCTTAATTAATGAACATCGTTTTAAACAATTAAAAAACAATTTGGAGATATATTTTTATTACTCTGTAACTCTGTATTGTTATCAGTATTATCTTGTTAATTCAGCTCGTTAAACAACTAGATTGGCAAATGTGTGTTACATCTCGCAGTCGTAAACGGCATAATACGATTTGTATGAAGAGATGGTCGTGATCTCTAGAGTCGTGATAAAGGATAACCATGTGCTATCGAATATGTACATCAACAGAGAATGTTGTTTACACTTGACCTACTCAACTATTTCTATTGGCGGTGCATGTCGAACAATTTATAATGACAATGACCTTTCATATTTTCCTCTTCTTTACTAAACTTAGCACATAATTAAATGCCTCTGTTATCAACGGGTAAATAAATTGTTTGAACCAGTTGCATGTTGGCCTATTTCATCATTATGCATAGTCTCTTTTTCCTTGTTCGGTTTGTTTTGTGGAATACCCCAAAATTAGAACAGGTAGATTTTAAAGTAACTGTATTAATAATTACCATTATCATATACGGTAAACACTTTATGTTGTCTCTACCATTAAAGCCTTTTTAAACATCGACTCGATGCCAATGACCCCTAAGCCCCCAAGTCATTAATTTAAGAATTAAGATCCCTTAAAAAGACCGTGCGTAAAACATCATTCTATGGAACACAAAGAGTAATTAGAAACCTTACTGTTGAGTAAAAGGAGACATCTTCCCTTATTGTGAATGCAGAAATTTAAATCTAGTGGTTTGCAGTCGAGCCGTGACTAGAAACTGCATTACAAACGATCGACGTCCGGGAACAGACAGGACATCCTAGACTCATTCACTATTATTGGTCCGATAGACACACCGCTGACTATAGTTTTTAAATACAAACGAAGTCTTTGATTCGTTTTGATTCAGCCTTCATTACGCCTACCGCGATGTGACAGACTGAACCATATGGGAATGGATAATGAGGTTCGATGCCCACACGATATTAATCTATATATATAAAAGAAAGTCGTGTTAGTTACACTATTTATAACTCAATAATGGCTAAACCGATTTGGATGAAAATTGGTGGGGAGGTAGCTTAAAACCAGGAGACGGACATAGGATACTTTTTACCCAAATCTTTTTTTTTACTTTTTACCGAAAATCAAGAACGGGAACGGGAAATATCGGGATTGCGCGTACGAAGTCGCGGGCAGAAGCTAGTTTACTGATAAATATCACAGCTGCAAATGCCCGCCTAGTATTTTATTACCTATTGTTTTTATTTTACATGTCAGGAATATATTAACAAATATTTTTATCAATGTTTTCGTACGTGGACAATGTTTTATATCAACGTGTTCAAGGTTTTATTCAGATTATGAACGTAAATAGACATACTAAATGATATAAAATATTAAATAACCTACTTTTTTGTGATCTTTTTTAAATATTTTGACAATGGATAGATAGATACTCTCAAAAAATATTCATGTAAAGCGGCATTCAGTAAATAAGTGTTATTTTAAAAACACTACCACAATATCAACTTTTAATACAACTCACTTGACAATTTCATTGAAAATGATAAGATAATAAATAAAAAAACAATACCTGGCTCTAAAAATAAGTATCATATCAAAATTTAAATAAATAAATAAACACTTTCACTTACATTTCCAAAACATTGCAAATGTTAATAACGACGCCGTCAAATCCATGTTTATCGAATAGCACCACTTAGAATTACGACTAAAACTACGGACTGTTAATTTTTAATTACATTTATGTGTTATGTATTTACAATGTTGCGATTGCGGCGCATGTGGCCGGCAGGGCTTTACACTGAACTGAAATTGGCACCTCCGTACTCAACTTCATGATTCACAGGAAGGAAGCTCAGTGGCAAAACGGGACATGTCCAAATACTAACAAATAACACTCTTATATTCACTGTATTAACGCTGATTCATGCGATCGATTCTGGCGCCGGCGCGACACTGACCAACATTTGGCTGTTGGCTGTTCCACTCCGTGTCAGTTCATTCCGTTTGTCGCTTTGTCCCCGGATTCCGGTGTTTAGTTTTTATTTTAGATCTTCATTTTGCGAAAAAATATTCAAGACACGATCTCAAGCTATTAATACTTAAAATAATAAATGGGTCTCTACATTCTTTGACTTTGTATTTACAGGTGGACAAAGTGTTGACAGAGATTTTTAGCATCTCGATAACTACACAAAACCACTAAAAGGTGTTTATCTAACAAATTAATATGCATACATATTCTTAGTATGTGGTATAGAAGTAATGGGCTAGTACGTATAGTATTCGAACCGCAACAATAGCTTTGTTTTCAGTGTTTCATTTTGTAGAGGTTAATTGTGACATTGACGTGAACCTATAATTAACGCGATGAGAGATTTATCCTTAATTAAACTAATTTGAATAAACAAATTCTTGACTTTTTCTTTTCTGCTTTGAGTTCATAACAAAAGAGATAGGTATTATATAATCGGTTAACCAAATGGGAATATTTTTGGTGGAAATTAAGGAAATACCATTGCATGCAAAAGCGTGTGCTATAAACTACACAACTATGTTTATTATTCTTTGCTAAAGATGTATATTCAGCCTGCTTTCTGTGTTTTTAGGTAGATGAAAATCTAATGATTTGTTTATCCGTTGACTGGTTAATTTTTGCTTCGTACGCAGGTGCGTACCTTTCTTTCAATATACGCATTATAGACAAGCCACTTGTTTTATATTTTAAAAGTTTGTTGTTTTGTGCATATAATGTACGTATATGAAATATAAATTCTATGACTTACCACATTTTGCTTTCCGCCCAGTTGTGAAACAGTTTACTTTGATATAGTCAGCCCGCAACATCCTTTGTTATTGACGATAAAACTGTCATATTATAGTAGCAATTTTATAAGAATAACTAACTGATGACAATGTATTTACTTATGGTTTATCTTCACAAAGTTGACAACTTTTATTTATTTTTTTAAAAAAAAACGTTGCCCCACATTAGGATTTTCTCCTGTGTCGTGGGTGCGTTTACAAACATACAAGTTCGCATACACAATAACACCCAGACCCGAAACAACAATTTGTGGATCACACAAAGTGTTGTTTCGTGCGGGAATCGAACCCGCGACACGTTGCACGGCAGCCGGTTGCCCAGCCACCGCACCAACCGTGCAGTCAAATCATCAACTATTATTGAAAATGGAAATTGGAGAAATATTAAAAAAAATATCGAATAAATATATAAATTACTTAAGTAACAATTACCTATCACCATTAGGTATACCATGCGCTTCAAAATATGGTGACTCGAGTATTAGAGCAGTTTTCGAGGTTATCATGAATAATGTTCACATTTAGGTCGACGATAGTACGGACACGCGACTGTTAGCAACATTTACATCTATTGATTGTATTATGATCGAAACGTGGGTGTGTCTCGTGTCGTATTCCCTCGTTATTTGCCACTCCAGTCTAGTCTAGACTAGACTTAATATTTAGTTCGTGGGAAGACTCAATAATCCACATAATGGATATTATGAACTATGGCCTATATTGAGTTCACTGGCACCAATTTTATACCAATATTTTTTTATGTTATGCATAATATATAATATCCAATTTACAATATAAAAAATACACAATTTTGCTATGCATAATATGTATATCTAAGCTTCATCGCTGACGATTTATTAAACCTTATTTACAACTCTATGTCGTTTACTTAAATGTTACAAAATACCTATGGTCTACATCAAATTTTGCCATAGTATCGGGCTACACTGTGATGTTTTCCAGTAGCCAAATTGTGGCAAAATCACATTAGGTTATATTTATAAGTTACGAAGTTAATAATCGGTTAGGAACTGTGTTATCTGACGACAAGTGCAGTGGGAAATTTATGCACTACTTCCTTGTATTTATCTGAATCAACTCCGTTAATATTTTATTTCTTCTTTTTCCTTCTTTCTATTTTCAATTACTCTGATATGAAAAGAGGTGCATCGAAACGGAGGCCAGTGTTAATAACCCATTGCATTCCATATACTGGCGTCATAAATGTTTTTATGTTATCTGTTATCACAGGCTATTTTAGTGTAAACGCCAGCATTATTCATTCATGCAACACATGCCTAACTTATTGTATCTTTTGTTGGAAATATGATTCATTGCATACACAGTTTTTTATGGTATCACATAATTTAATATTTATTCCATTTATTCCGTGCTCCTACAAAAGATTTCCAATTTAGGTGGCATTCTGTTTACCGTTAAAAATAATGAAATGTATATTAAATTCTAATATTTATTATTTTTATTTATTTTATACAAATACACAGGAAAAATATAAATAAGTCAATTAGTGGAACGCACTTTAACTGTAAACTTTACATTTGATGATAACATTTTCCATTTTAGGTTCCTTCGGACTATGCCTGAGCAATAAAATATCTACTTACCTATTTTAAATAAATAGCTATGCTATGTACACAGTGTTACACTAGCTTATTTGTAATTTCTATATCACAGCATTCAATTCTCTGTACAAGGAATGCTACGAAATGTGTTCCTTCGTTGCACACTACAAAGTTATTTCTTACCAAGCTTAGATACTGTAAATACTAAATACTATAAATATTTACGATACATACTCTATTATTTTCTAATTGATACTATACAACTTCAATATAAGTAGTAAGGAATGCCAGTATATAAATATTAGATAACTATCTGTACGATAAATGTATCTAAAGCTATCCTTCATAAGACGTTGAGTTCATGTGCGTGTTTGATCTCCAACTACAGAATTTTCGGGGTTATCTACCAATGCCACTACGGGGGCAACCGCTATTGATTTGATTATTGACTCTTGTGTTGAATCAATGTATTTATCAATAGTCTAGCTATTAATGTGTACGTTTCTGACAATGACGACCATTTCTCTTTAAAAACAAACGCAAGGCTTGGAATAAATGGAAAATATATAAAAATGAATCAGATTACGAGATATTTTCATTATATAGAACTCGGTTTAAAAGTGAAGCCACAAAATGTTACAATAAGTACATTAATTGTGTCGAGGACTCTATACCCAAAAACATAAACTATTTCTGGGCTTATATAACGAATAAAAAATCTAATGTAGGTATACCGTCAAGTATGACTTACAAAAACCAAACTTCGCAAGATCCGGAAACTATTTGTAATCTGTTTTCATCATTTTTCCAATCTGTTTACCAGCCGTCTACCTTAACTCCCCATTGGGCACCACCAGACAATTATAGCTACCGATGTGATTTGTTGCCCCATATATATCTCGGTGTAACTGCTATTAAAAGCGAATTAAAGAAACTGGATGCTTCCAAAGGCCCAGGACCAGATGGATTGCCAGCAGTGTTTCTTAAGAATACAGCTGAATCAATATGTGATCCATTGAACATCGTGTTTAACAAGTGCATCTCTGAGGGTTTCTTTCCAGACATTTGGAAGTGTGCATACATTGTCCCAATCCATAAAAGTGGTTCTAAACATGACGTCACAAATTATCGCCCAATCTCTATTATCAGTGCAACATCAAAACTCTTCGAGAAACTTGTTCATAATGCCATATACCCATTCTTCCATAATTATATCATTCCTGAGCAACACGGTTTTGTTAAACAAAAATCCACTATGACAAACTTAGCAACTTATACTAACTTTCTTTTCCATAATATCGACAAGGGAGTTCAGGTGGATTCCGTATACACAGATTTTCAGAAGGCGTTTGATAAAGTGGACCACGAAATTCTTCTCAATAAAATAGCGTTTAATGGAATTAGGGGAAATCTTTTGAGGTGGTTTTGCTCATACATATCGAACCGCAGCCTGATAGTCGTAATTAATGGATACAAATCGGGAAGAGCTGGTATGTCGTCTGGAATTCCCCAGGGATCAATATTGGGGCCGCTTCTTTTCATTGTGTTTATAAATGACATGAATGATTGCTTCAAACACACAAATTTTCTTTTATATGCTGACGATCTGAAATTATATAAAGTCATAAAAAATGTTAATGACTGCTCAGAACTTCAAAGCGATCTTGACCGACTTTCTGAATACTGTGCAATTAATAAGTTAAACTTAAGTATCCCCAAATGCCAAACAATTAGCTTCACTAAAAACAAGACAGTAATCAAATACGGGTACACCCTTTGTGGCACCATACTAAACAGAGTGACGAACCTTAGAGACCTAGGAATACTGTTTGACTGTAAGTTGCATCTGGACCTACATATAGAATATATCATAAATAAAGCATTTAAAATGTATGGTTATGTTTTTAGAACAGCTACAGACTTCAGGCGCCCCTCCACATTTTTACATCTATATCGTTCACTTATTCGTTCTCAGCTTGAATATGCTTGCCTGATATGGGATCCATTATATAGTAAATATAAAATAGCCATTGAAAAAGTACAAAGAAAATTTCTACGGACTATGCAATTTAGATGCCAACTACCACGCTTAAACTACAAAGACCTTTTAGCCCGGTATAATTTGCTGTCACTGGAGAAGAGACGAATGCTTCTGCAAATAATGACACTTCACGACCTTTACCATAACAAGCTTAATTGTATGGACCTTAATAATAACATTAAACTTGTGGTTCCTATAGTCCATCTGTTTAGGTAATTAACTAAAGG